TTTATCTTTATGTGTTTGTTTGTGCTTTGAAGTTTCTTTAGCGTTAGACTTGTTTTACGGGGTAGGATTGATAGCCGTATGCCCAACCTTCCCTTTTTGTGCGGGCTTAGGACCGGCTAGTAACTAGTAAACTAAATACAGATAGCTTATCTAAGCTTAACTAATCAGATTCCTACGAGAAACTGTCCTAGTCCAATAAGAAAGTACCTTAGCCACACAAACGTATTGTGTGGCTGAATGCTGAATAGCGTTAATGGTCCTCAATAAATATCTGAAGTACAGTGAAGCAAGGACTTCGATGGGTTTTATTTATGAGCGCATTCAGAAAATCGACTATCCTAAAGCCAACTACAAATCATAACACCGTAACAGAATTCTTTCAAATGGAAGGACATCGAAATGGCATGCTCCTTATCGAAATGATTCTCTGGAACCAAGCATAATAGAGTCGATGAAGAAGGTTACAGAAAGATTTTAAGCTCATGAAAATCTCCAAGGCTATCTTAAGCAACCAATTTTAGAAAGTGTGAATCAAGGTTTCAGAAGAAGAAAAGAATAAAGATGAGTTAACCTCATTTGAATACTGAGGAACCAAACTATTAATCCTGGTCCGCATGTTGATAAGTTTTCCAATCTTCATACTGATATGGTAGCTCTATAAGCATTATCTTTGAGTTAAGGGCTTTTTGACAGTCATATTACAGCTAACAGGATGGAATTACAATTCCAGTTTGAAGACCTACACACAAAAATAGAAGATGTGTCATCTTTTTTAAGTGAGGGGGTAAAACGATGCAACTCTACTTTGGTCGATTGCTGCAGTAATAATAGATAGAATGCTGGGAACATCTTGACTCATAGACATAGATAAGATCCTTGTTGATTTTAGATAAACAAAAGTTTATCGACCCCTTATCCTCATAATGTCTCTAGGGTGGTTGTGATGAACAAAATGGACGATTTTCATAAGATACTAACCCTTTTAAGTGGTCGTGGTAGATTTTAGACGTCGTCATCCAAAACAGAAATGATAGAAGAAAACTAAGAAGTAATTATCAGGATTTTTAGAATTGTTGAAACAACAAGGTTTCATTGTACAAAGTATTTATGAAACAGCTCAACATCGCATATGTGTATATACGAATAGATGACAAGAAAGCGTGTTCTAATAAAATAAGTTGGGGTTAGAAAAGTAAATACTGTAGGGGTGAGGAAACACAAATGAGCGAAGCCGATGAGTGGATAAGGCTGTGACAATTAGCAAACAAAATGCAATGTAAATGGTAGGACTGAATCAGTTAAGATTTTGGTTCATTACAGACTGCAATTAGGAGGAAAAGATTAGAAAGTCACCGAATAGATAGATGAAGTATAATTTATCAGAGAATTTAAAGAATACGACGGATTACCTCATAACACGCAATTCGATGATAGGCGTTTGACCGCAGTAACTTCAGAAACACTAAAAACACTTCGATTCTCCTGCTTGCTGACTACAATGAACGGCTACAAAGAATCTCCATGATACCCTTCATCTAGTTGATGCTTAGTTAATCCCTAAGTGAGGTTCATCGCTCCCCTCCTTCTCAGACCCTTTGGAACCTGTTCAAAACATACAGGTTTAGTTCTCCTTTTTCTTCTTCCATTGTGACTACTCCGACAGGTTCATGTAATTGAGCATACATAATTGAAAGTGATATAAAAGGCGTAACTGTCATCATTTTAATTGTACTAGCGAGCAGGAAGTTTGAAACAGAGGAAACGTTTTGGCTGCAGAATGTGTCCCAGCTAATTAAGTTATTAGTGCTTCCTCTATCACCATTGCAAAATGGTAATTTTTGAAGTAGTAGTGAGTGAAGACCAGCCTCTTCCCCAACATTATTTTCTCAATTTTCTGAGTTCTTTCACACCGTATTTGCTGGCGAAGCATTTGACCATCTGTTTTCTTGAGACACTTCTAGAACAGCAGTATTCCTGTGGAGCATATTCTCCATGCTGTCGAGTGTAGCCTTCAAACCAATGCTGGTCCATAGTTAGACGAAGAGAAACTGTTTAAATACAGGTAGAGACCAGCTTTTATGCCTCTATGACAGATAACTTTTTTAAGTGTACCATCTAATGTCCAGGAAATTGATTTATCCATTTTTTTAATACTTTGTTGCTTAATTAATGCTTCCATGTAAATCACTGAAGTTCTTCAGAAGATCTGATGAACTGTATAAATTTTTATATACACTGAAGAGGTATTGTCGACGGATTTGTTCTAGGATTTTGTTTCATTGGTTTCATATTTGAGGTTTGTTAGCTTAATATTGGTCATGAAATGTGCGTCACTAAGAGACCTAGTGGGGTAATATATTGCCACTCCACTAGCTTGTTACACATGAACTGAACGCATTCAATACATAATGAACGAAGCTTTTTGAAGTCAGATATTGGAGCACTGACTGACATATAAGGCTTATAGTTTCATGAAAAAAGCAAATGAGGAAGTTGTATTATTGAAGACAATAAATTATTAGGAATACTAAATTTCTCTAAACTAGAACGAGTCTTTCACTGCATTCAGTCAACCATTTCCGAACATAAAAAAGCTTCTCTGCTAACTGGCAAGCACCTCTGTGGTACGATGAATCGACAGTTAAGGTCTTTATGCAAAATTCAGTTTGTGTCTCAGGTAGACCGTATGTAAAATGCTGACGAGATTCTCGAGGACTCTGCTGATTATACGTTAAATTACGGGCTCAGTTTCTTTGCCGTAAGTTGTCTGAGTGCTTTCTTAATTCTCTTCTTTACTGTGTCTATCGTGTCTTAGCTATTAGTGTCAGTTCTGAATCTCAATGTCTAATTTGGGATGAATTTTCACTTCATGATGCATCCATCCATTTTCATTCATTACAACACCTGAAACCCTATCGTCCTAGCTCTAATTATACCTAAAGTGTTTTGTTGCAACTTAATAAACAGGATTCTGTACTATGGAATCGGTAACGTAAAAAACACCGATTAGCAATATCAACAAATCCAGTTTTGTACTAATCTGATAAATTCTATTCACATGTCAATGTTCAAGTTAGTTACCGATCTATTGGTGGTACAGGCATATTGCCCTTAAGTACAAGTTTGGTATTGTATTATTTTGTGTCACTACTACGTCACATTTGTGTACTGGTTATTACAAGCTTATCCACTAATCGGCTTCATTCATTTTCTTTTGCTCAGCTCTACAGTATTTACTTTTCTGCTCCAAGTTTTACTAGAACGTACTTTCTTATCAGATATACATATATATGATACCATCGCATAACATTCTGAATCGGCTTTAGCTTACGTTGTTTCCCTAATATGTCATGCACTGGACTGCTTCCTTTTTATTTCATTGAAGTATTGTACGTCGATATTTTATGTACAGTTTGTGTTTAAGTATTCTAAGCTGCATTCAGCTGAAAAGAACTGGTGAGATGACAATAGATATCCACATTTTCCTGATACACTTCCTATTTTGGTGCTTTCCAGTACATCTGATATTGGCACGTTGTTTAGTAAATACTGTTTTTGTAACGATTCATTTTATGCATTCATTTTAGAGTCAATAGCTCCATTACTGTCATTAACAGAATAATCTTACAACATAATCCAGCAAGTAAGTGCACATGCCACTTGCAACCTAGACGTTTCCGTGGTCATTATTGTACAAGTTGGAATGGCTGAATAACACAAAGAGAGCATTGCATTAGATAACCTTGATGACCATGAACTTAAAATCTAAAGTATTACTATAGAAAAAGGTGCGATGGAGACAGGTTACAATACTGATTCGAACATATATTTTACATGTGTTTGGAAGATACTGTAAGAGCTGTTTCAAGAGTCTGGTATTTGTTTATGTTAGTGATTAGAGATATTATTGGTTAAAAAAATATAAAGTAGTGAATAGGTTTTGGTTATCAGTGCTTCCTGACAGTCTCATCTCACTGTTGAGTATAAACCTTAAAACGTTTCAGTAATGGTATACTGAACTACTTATTCAGGATTTTACAACATGGACTTTCAGTTACCTTTGAAGCCACCAATCTATTGAGTGAAGTACACTCAACCCGGATGAAGTATTGCAATCTCTGACACAAGAACAAGCAGCCATTCAGATTGGTTTGTATGTTTAAGAAGCCATATCAAAGTGATCTAGATGCTCAGGATCTGTTTTGCTCATTTCGAGGTGAATATTATTTTAAGAAGGAGTCAGAACTAAAAGTTGAACCCTTTTTATACGTGCAAAACGTGAAGGAAACATGCATAAGTAGCATTATGTGCGTATAAATACAATATTTTAGCATCATGAATAGTTTTGTTTCAAGGCAATACATGTGGATGGGAATAGTGTGTATGAGAAAGTCAGTTCGAGTGTAACTAACAATCTAATGCACTTGTAGTAGTTGTATCCCACGAAATCCTAACGCACTCCTATTTTTCAAACACGAACACATTCGAAAGGCTGAAGCTGAATCAATTCAGTGTTCATAAGATGTTGTACTACCATTGATTTCTTTTAACAATGACTTCAAAATAATTTCAAACAACAGCAGTATATCATGATTTTCATTGCATTGAGTCTTGGGAACAACAGTGCTATTACTAAAGTCATAAGATTAGCTATTTTGATATGGTTGATGGATAAAATTACGGTGACCTTGGAAGCTATAGCGACTTTGTCATTGTTTATTCATCGAAACATTTTCAGTAAATTTCGCCACAAGTTTCACAATGAATCAGTATTAGTAGCGCAAAATTCAAACAAGAGTGCATAGTGTAATTAGTCATCCAGCGAAACCGATACCTTCAATATTTTACCCTACTCTGTAAGCTTATGAAATGCCGTGTGACTTCGTCAATTTTCTATCCACGAAGATCAGCCTGGTAATTATACCACTGGTCTAGATGACACCTTCAAAAGGCAAACATAACTAAGACTTATAAAGCATGTTATTTACTAGTGACACAGTATACCAAGGATTTCTGGAGAATATCTTCGTCTTTCTCAGCGATACATTAGACAGTGAACTAAAAAAGTGATTATTTCAACAGCATAAGGATAAATTCTTAGTTGATTTGAAGACATTTTGACAATAAATTAGTGTATTATCAATAACTTTTTCATTGTTTATTTTGTAAACTATTCCAACGAAAAGTAAACATGATGACAATGATAACAGTCAGCGGTACATTTACAAAAAGGAAGAATAGAAAGAAAATAAAAATAAATAATTAAAAATGAATCAGTCGTCTTTTACTGACAACGATATATGTAAAGATCGTAAACTCTTTTTCAATGAAGATTTGTGACAAAAGAAATGCTAGACAACTCAATTAGTATATGCAGGTGAAGGTAGATAGGTTTTCTGTCATGAGAAATTAATTATTCACCTATATGAAAGGAACAAAACTCAAGAAGTATGAATATTGTACAGATTAAAGAAAGTGCATACATGGACAAATGACATGTATATATTATAAGAATAATGATCAAAATGTTATCTATTGTAATTACTATATTGTCAATAGGGAATCTCTTAGCTCATCATTGACAAGATTAATGCTAAATTATGTACAAACAGCCATACACTTAAACACATGAGGGAGGAAGTGGGATTTATCGACAGTTTACTGACGATAGTTAGGACAGTAAGAATGTTCCCGCTGATGATTACTACTGTTATTACTGTGATTTTTTCTGCTTCTGCTTTGTGTAGTTGACTCATATTGACATTTACGACGGGGTATTTTCTTCTCCACAGCATAATAACCGCCTATAATTGCTTGAGAATACTGTATATCTTGAGGATTATTCAACGGAAGCGACTGATTTTGATTGAGTGTTTCTTTCGGTTCAATAATTGGTCTCCTTTTTGATAACCAGTAGGTAAAAAAAGGAAACATTACGGTCAAGCAGAATTAAAAATGATTCACTTGAATCGTATTAATTTACATCTTTTTCCTGTAACTCTGAAGTTGTTATAAACCAGTGCTTTCCTTAACATGCAGCAAAGGTTTCCTTACTAAATCTCTTCCTTTTCGGTCAATCTTTAAATTTCGATCATGAATCATAATAATCATATCAAGGGAATTACAAATTTAATCATGGAGAAATCCATAGCTTTTTCCGATCAAATGATTATACTTCAGCTGTATTGCCGAACGATTAAACAATAAGTGAGATCAATTTGCTACCCTAAACCTTTTTTTGGCAAGATGCGGAGAATAATGTTTACAAAATAGAATCGTCCTTGACTGGTACACACTCATAATTTCCAAACTACTAGCTTATTATCTGAAACCCTACTTCGTCTGTTTGGATTAGGACGGGTAAGTTGTTAAGTCAGACCACTGAGGTTGTGTCACGCTGCTAAAGACAGGATTACACAAACACATACTAATTTCTCAGTGGAGCTGGGATCCATAGTGTTCTTTAAAGATTAGATAGCACATTTCGAAAGAAAATTCAAGAAACGTTCGTGTAATCCACTGAAAATTTGCAATAATTGATTAATAACACGAAAACCAACTTAATTCCTAATTTCATCCCTGGACATGTTTCAATGCTGAAAATCTATTTGATTTCATTTAGACTATTCTTAGAAATGACTGAAATAAGTTAAGTATCAGTCATTTTCTCTCCCTTTTCTGCAGCTGTTTTAGGTTGATTAAGCATAATCATTCATTTCGCAAGTGTGTAAAGGAGTTAAAATGCCAGCCAACTGTACCCAGTTTCAAGAAATTCATTCTAGGAGTCAAAATTAGATTCAAATGGCAAATTATGGTAAGCAACAAAACTTGTATGCACTCTTGCACTTCCAAGGCCATCAGTACAGTGGTGTAGTAGCAACATTTTAGTGATTTTATCTATGCTAATTTCACATTTATTAAATCAGAGAAAACGTATCAAACTCATTACGTAAACTGCACCTACCAACATTGACCGAAATTTCCAGGCTTCGGATAATTTGTAGATACTGGTTTACTACATGCACAACCCAAATTAATTTCCCAACCACTGGAAGGATTCTTTACAATACGACATCCAGATAATGCTGTATTCGTTTGGTTCGATAATGAAACTGGTTGAGAATTTTTGGCTCCTTTTATTTCTCTTTGAGGAATGTTTCGCAATCTTGGCTGATTCAACTGGTAAACTAGGAAAGGCTAATCAAAAGAAAAGAAAAAGAAAAGTAAATCAACAGCGTCTTCACAGCCGTAATGTCTTGTGAATAAGCATGTTATTTCAAATGGCTTCTTGCTACTGAAAAACGTCAAATATTTAAGTTTAATTGTGTTAGTTTAGACCAATTTAAACGAAATATCACATTGCGTATCTCAAATATTATAGAAAAAGGAAATTATAATGGCCTATTTTAGGGTTTTAATTAGCTGCAAAGAGTATTTTATTCTTCTAAATGATTATTGCTCTCAAAGGCAATAGTAAAAAGGCACCAGCAGAAACACAGGTTATAAATTCCTTATTAGATAAGTTTGTATTTGTTACAGATTGAATAATTCAAAAATTCCCGCAGATTTATTCATGTAAAGATAAAATTAGTTTTCTACTTAGTAAAAATTTTCATAGTCAGTGATTTCATTTTACGTCCTTTGTACTGCAACCTGGAAGCAGTAGCTGTCATAAACTGATAATATAAATTAATGGTCAGGCAGAAAGGATTTCTTTTCAAGGTTTTTTTCCGAAAGAATTTTATCGAAAAAGTTTACTTAGGAAGCATAGTGTTCAACATTGAGTGCTTTGTTTTTATGCATTAAAGTATTTTTGGGTCTTGAAATATCATACTGAAGGAAACATCTATTGTCAGTGTGTAAGTCATTTTGTGTTTTGTAGGTTTGTTAATCTGGTTGTTTGATTAAATATTTACTTGAAACTTAGGCGGTAAGAAATCTGTTTCCCATTAGAAAAGAGGTTTCCTAATGAGAATTAACCATTCTAAAAGTTCTTTTTAATAAGTTATAATGTGCCTAAATATTCCAGTCTGAAAGATAGGGAACTGACTGTTGATAATATTCTGCATTTTCTTTGACTTAATTAAAGGTTACACAAAAACCCGATATATTAAGAACTTTGATTGCAAATCAAATGTTGTTACTAAAGAAAACACCATATATCGACCAACTAAAACTGAACTGCTTTTTAAGCGAAAAGGTTACTATGTTAGAAACTGCTTTTTGAACCCACGGTAACTGTACCTAAGAGTAAGTTCTAATATAATCCTAGTATGCTTAAAGGAGCAAAATATCAGTTTTTTTCAAATGTTTCTGCCGTGTGCCATCTACGCATAAAGTCTACTTAATGCGTTTTTCTTCCGACACAACTATTCGGTTATTTTTCTCATTGGTGAATAAAAACCCAAATTGTCTAGTAACTGTTCCACATACCTCATGATTTATGTGTTTATCCTTGCAAGGCCACTGTGAAAAATTATTGGTGAGTGATTGTGATGGTTGTAATTTTACATTCATTGTATTCACTGAATCCTCTTTAACTAGTTTTTCCAGTTGAAATGGATTTTGACTAGGATTTCTGTTGAAATTGTCAATAAAATTAGTCCCTCTGTTTTCATTACATTTGAACTTATCTCTTCTGTTTACAACTGAACTCCTTTGGTTGTAGTGATTTAGGCTGAACTCATATGTATTTGGAGTAAAGTGATAACTGATGAATTTTGATGGAGGTCTTTGTTGTTGCAATTGATGAGTTAGCCCAAAGTGTTCGATTGGCTTCAGTTCCAGTGTCTTATGAAAGCCATTTACCATTTGATGTGGCGGTATTTTATCCTGTAATTGAAACATAATTGAAGAGTAAGTGGAAAGATGAAAACATTTGAACAATGATTACAATTCGTCGCTAGATTTAAAGTTGAGGGATAAAACAATCTTGTTTTATCTTTAGGCTACTCGAAGTTATTAAATGAATATTCATAATAAAAAATGTCCCGGTCAATGACTCGTTACAATGATTTCTCCAAAACTCTTAGTTATGAGTTAATAAATATAACTATACAATAGGTCGCTCGTAATCAGTAGTAAGGAAAATGTTTCCTTATCTTTTTAATTCACTTCCATTTGACTGTATCTATACATAAGTTTGACTGTCTCAACCACAATTTTATATATTGTCGCACTTGTACAACATCACTAACGAGAAAGGAAATTGTCGAAAAACAGCTTTTCTGTGGAATGCCTTTTCTTCACTAGTCATTGAAAATAAATAATGTACTTTCAAACAACCATTAGCCAATATAGCTAACATTAGGCAATGAGCACTTCAAATGAATGGTTCTCAGTGAAAACTGCCATTTGAAAAAGGTTTTGTAAAATTGTTTATTTTTTTATATAACATGATTGTCACCTGTCAACTTTTGAAAAAGCCTAATTCAGTCCCGTAATAATTCATTTTACTGTAAATAAAATTGAATGATTTTTCATTTTCGTTAAGCGAACGTTGTAATTTTTTGTCCAAATACAGTGTACTGTAACAATAAAAGCTACTTATGCTACATTTTGCAGGTGTTTTAAAAAAACTATCATGTTTAAAATGTGTGTGAACTTATACATTGAATATTCATTCACGTTAGACACTTACTTTTTTACTGATGTGAACAAACATTTATCCTGTTATTTAACCCGAAAAACTGATTTTAGTTGTTTTCACCCATTGATATTACGAAAACATTTAACATTCCTCCAATGAAACAAATGAATTACGGTACTGATACTGGGTATTAAAAGAAGTCTCCGAAACCACAGCCATTTCAGATGGTCAAGAATAATAGTTTACTGTTTGACTAACCTATAATGAAAACTTCATAGTTCTTAACACTTACTTTTAAAGAAAACTAAATTTTATCTAAATTGCCAAAGATTAAAACGCTCACTACAGTTACCTTCTATGCCCGATAGGAGATAATAAGAATAATTCCTGGGAATGACTAGTGATAGGAATGATTTTTGAATTAAACTGCCATCGAAAAATTCATCACCGAACCACGACACCTTGACTAAGGCTAACTCATAGTGAATGAGGCTATCAACTTGGAATCACTTATATACTACTTTCTCTCAGTTGCTTTTAACCCTTCATGCAAGTACTACTTGCATCTTGCTTTTCTTGTAGCACCTTCTAAAATAGTTGACGAGGCGGACAGAGATATTTAACTGAGTTGTTGTATGGTCCTGGAGCGTTTTTTAATCCTATAACAGAAAATCTAGTGACCAAACTTACCATGTACCAGCACCAACAAGTTATTTCAGCTTTCAGTCGTATAAAAGGAGTGAATATTTTTATACGAAAAGGATATCGTCGACTTTTATATCTATTGAAAGTGTTTGAAATTTGGTATATCTTGTTCTTTATACTTCTCGGTTATGCTAAAGTGGTTTGTTATTCAGAATGGAGTCCTTTGTATGTTCTGCATAAGCTGTGACACTAGATCGCCAAATATGTTTTATGGAAAGAGTTGGCTTTACTGCATAAAGTGCCGTGTCTAACGATTTCCTAAACGATGAAGTTGATATTCGTAAGTGCAAAATAATTGATAATAATAATTTGAGTGTGAACTTCATTTCTTATCTCAACTAATCATTTTACGTTATGAAAGTAAAATAGTAAAATCACCTAAATGTCTTTACATCCAGATTAATATTGCATTTACTGAAATGAACGCAGTTTGTCTCGAAAACTTTGATCTTCCCTATTTTTCACTCTTCTTCACTTTGCCTTGCTCCTTTTACATGGAATAAAAATATATGTTCTGAATATTTAATACAATTTACAACAACAGGAATCGGTGATATTTGGCGCTTTGAACTGAAATACTGTATTATAAATGATCAAAAACGCTTTTATCCAAGAAATGAGAAGCCATGCTTAATATCTTTTAAGATAGACTTTGATTGAGTTTGAAGACTGCCTCTAGCTATTACTTTGTGATTAAACGGTGCGAAATGCAATGCAGAATATTCATGTAAAGGAATGGTAAAGTTATTTGAGAACGTAGAGTAGCCCAAAGAAAAAGTTGCTCATCAAAAATGCTTTATCTATCGTAGGTTGAAGTTAGAAAAATGATAACTATTCCTTCTAAGGAGAAAAAGCCTATAACAGAAAAACTGAATTTCACAGTTGGATACCGGATTTTTAGTTTAAAATGAGACAGTTACTGTTTTCATTGTACATGTAATTTATCAAAAAATATTTCTCAGCATCCCACTACAAACATCGTTTTAACTGCTTCTCAATCCATATCTCATAATTAGCACGCACTTGCCTAAACTTTACTGTTCAAACATCAATTTAGCCTTTGCAGTGGAAAGCTAGACGGATATAAGAGTAGTGTTCAAATGGTGTATGATTATCATAAACAGCATAACCAAGAAAGAATGAAGTAATTTTGAAGGAGAATGTAGTTAAGTTTATGTTGAACAGAACTGTGTGCAAGCAAAGGGTATATTCTATCGGTTGTGGGAGAACTATATTCTGGTCATTACTTTTCTTTCCTTGTTCCTGTTAAGAATACCTTTTTGTTGCGCAAAATAATGTGATTACGTTGATTTAATTTTAACTGTTTGCTTTGGCATATACATCAATTTGATGAGATCACTTTTAGTCAACTAAATACAAGACTGTTTAATTGCATATTATTCTGCTCGATTATTTCAAAATGAACGGTAATTTTCGCCCTGTTCATAATCTTATTCACCTGTAATTCTGTTTAGCGTCGAATAATGTGTGACGAAGTCTGTAGTTCATTTATCACCATCTAAAGTTACACATGCATCACTCATAATTCATCTTGTTTATAGATTTAAAATTATAACAAAGAATAAAAATTTCTTTTTTACGATTTTATTCACTAAAGCTTTACAGTTCTATTTAAAATGCTTAGAAAAAAGGACAGTTTACTGGTTATAAACGGAGAAGAGTGATTATTATAATGTCCTTATGGAGCAAGGTAGATTTACATTAAGTCGATAAACATTTCAGGACACTATCCAGTTCAGTTATTCAGAGGAGAGAGAAAAAATATTACCAGTTCTATTTTGAACACCTTATAGCCTTGGAGCATCTCATCCTAGTACATCCTTCAAACTAATTTACAAAGTGCCTCCCTACGGTTCCAAAGGCATTTGACTGTGTCATCTATGCAAAACTGAATCATTGGCAATTCACAACTTTCAATCTGATTGCTTTGTTCAAAATCATTACTTCCACTCTTTAGTCTTACTATGGCCAAAGCATTAATTTTCTTGTGTTAAAGAGTTTTCTATTCCCCTCTTTAATATTATAACGGTACGGTTGAACTTTGAGCTGTCGAAAGTTTTTCACTGGATTTGTTTCATCAAATTCATCCCTTTAATTTGTTTCAGTCTTGTAAATATATGCTTCGAATACGTCAAGTACTCTGGTGCACTTTTAAAATGGTTTCAAACTGCCATTTCTCAAGATAACAATAAGACAAAAATAAATGATACGTTGGGAAGAGATGAGCTTATCGGTGTAAAGAAACTTAGTATATTACTGTCCCAGGATAACTAAGTCGTATTGCAGATTTTGGTATTGGATCAATGAACTAGCAGCACCTTAATTAAGCTCGATATTCTCTTCGTTCATCAGTGCAAACCAGATGACGATGTGATGCCAGGAGCCTTTTTCACACTGCTGCTTCTATTACTGTTATTATTGTTTACTATCCAAGTGCTGTGGTTATTTCGCTTAGAAAGTTTGTACATAGAATGAATTTGTTGAACTACTACATGATGAGAATTCCATAGTGTACCGCATATCTCGTTTGACTAAAACTGTTGTTATCATTATTACAGTTATTTCTACTGATTGGCAACATACTCTTATTTGTTTCCAGTGACACTGAATACAACCGTACAGTTTTAGTAAATAAAATCCTATATCAGAAGATTTCCTTCACTGTTGTACCTTTGTTCAATTACCTCATATGCGAATTTTCCGTTAAAGTGAAATAATTGCCTTCATATATGTATATATATACATCGGTATCTTTAAAGGAACACTAACATAAATGTATTATGACTCTTTAAATGACTCTTATATACGGCAAAATCCTAGCGTGGTTTCATGTCTTCCAACGAGATGTATGACACTTGCAAGAAGTAGTTTTCAAGTTGTTTCAAAACCTCATAAAAGGTCCTCCCTAAAGGTAAATGTGCTGTAGTTAATTACCTATATTAAAGGAATCCAACTATACACGTCACATTGTTTTGCATTCAGGCGGATATATCTAAATAAAATAAGCCATAAGTTACAAACATCTTACTTCCGTGTCTACTTAGAACTCATTGGATTTTCGGCTTTCCTTGTATGATGCACAACCCTTCTTAAATTATACTTGAACGCTATTACCCAAACAGAAACTTTGAAGTTGGGACTTCCAAATCAAGGAGAATAAATGTCTTAAAAATTTTAAACTCTTCCAAATCACAGCATACTGGCTGAGGGTTCATTAAGTATTACTTGAAACACATGACAGTTAAATGAGTTGAATGAGTATGCCATTATTTTGAATCGGACTGGTGAGATGCGTATGTGTAAACTATAGCGAAACTGGCCTTATATTCAATTTTGTGACTTGTCTGTCCAAAGGTTTAAATGACCATTCGACATATTATCTGCCGGTAAATACTTATTAACTACAACCTATTTGCTTATGTCAGTAAACAAGCCAGCTAATTTTACTGACAAAATATGGTTTTGGTAAAAAGACATCTTTTTTCCTAGACACTTAAAAATTAGGCAGTTGTACTAAACTTTAGTGACAGAAAACCTTAAGGTCAACCAATCAAGTTGGAGATGGCTTATTTAGGACATTCGCTACGTCTTTTTTACCGTGTCATTGATACTGCCTAACTCTTTGATGACTTATATTGAAGATTACTTTTATAGGTGTAGAATTGAGTGGAGTAGAGAATATGTTTGAAACAGATGAATACCTTATTCTAAAATTTTAATGTAGCCTAGGAAGACGACTTAAACAGGACTGAGTATATCATAACTTATCCAATGTATGCATACATACATTAGTCTTGGCGAACCACAGATTCCTGGTATATACTACTGAAATACGAAGAAAGGACATTTTTCGTGGATAAATAATGAATCAGAAAAATCTATGCTACCTGTTTTGCGAAAATAGGTAGCATTGTGTATCACAATACACACAGATGCTTGGAGGTCATAAAGGCTTTTATCTGAAATAAGTTATCCCTATCAGACTATGTTCCATTAGGAACCCAACGGACTATAACAGTAATAATCAGACAACTATTCACAAGAAGCAGTCTACTGATCGGACAACTGGAGTGCATACAAACAACTTTGAAAATATGTGGAGTCGTCTTAGAAAGTTCATGAGACCTCTAACCCGAAGAGAAGTTCGTCAAATATCATCTCAATGGTACTTTCTAACATGGATTAGCAGCAATGTCAACATTGGTACGGTTTCAGAGATGCTTAACCTATTTAAAGTCTAGATATCTTTCTTTCTCAGGTTAAACAGATTACTAACTTATAAATGAATTACTATTTTTCTCAATGACTACTTTGTCCTTCATATTCTTGGTTTTGATTGATAAGTGCAAACTTAAGTATAACTGACCGCCACTAAAGTTTAGTTAAACCAAATAGTCATTGTCAGTCGACATTCGAAACAAAAAAATGAGTGGGTCTAAATTATTGGAAGAAAAAAAGGAACGCATTTCACTGACGATGAAGTACTTCAGGTAAATTATTTATCGATGGCTTCTTCCCACTTTGAAACCTTTTAATACCAAGTACAACAATTCTCAAACATTATTTTGTAAGACAGTGAGTGCCAACTTCCTACTTGACTTTGTCATCTAAAACCTACGGATTCTGTACTGCGAAGAGGTTTTCTTGACTATAATTAATATTTTGTTTAAGAATTCACAGTATTGGTTTGGTTAGTTATTTGGTTCCGATGTCACTCATCATAATACACCAAATATTTGCTTAATTTCCAACTCTTTCTACACTGATTACTACTATAGATGGAAAATATATTAAGAGTGCAGAACTTTCGTCTAGTTTTGTTGGTGGATTAACTTTCCTAATTTTGATCATTGTATAAAAATCCTTATTTTGCGCTATTGAGGATCATTTATCTTTGGACCATGAAGTTTATTACATAACAGATGGGTATTTCTGTCGAACGAAAACCCAATCCGTGAGCAAAGTTTATAACACAGCTATTCCACAGATGAACAAAATCAACTGCGCAGTTTAATATTCGATTCATCTCGTATCCCCTTCACAGATAAAATGAAGTAGATTGTGTACAAAATTATGATAAATGCATTAGAATTATAGTGTAAAGCATCAAGATAGTAAGAATGAACAACAGTTGCGGATGTCTTTATTTTTTAAGTTTCTATTTACTACTCTCTTGTTAGGAAGAAAGTGATAATGAATAATTGTTTTTACTACCCATTTGCGAAAATCTCAAATAACTGTTGTCATTTATGTTCCCTATCTGAGTAGTTTTTAGCAATGAAACATTCGCTTTGTAAGTAAAACAAAAGTGGAAAAAAAGGAAAAAAAATGTATGGGATAGGTCCTGACAAAAATGATGTTTGAAAGTGTTTGCATAGTGTAGAATTTATTTTTCTGGCTAGCTGTATACTTAGTTAGAACAGCAACCTACAAAGTGGGGTAAAACGAAGACTGCTGAAGTTTGCTTTCAACTGGAAATGATGTCAGTATCAAGAACGGCATATAATGGTTCCCTTGAGAGTATTTCGGGTTTGTAGGGATTCAGTGATTTCAAGTTGATTTTCATTTTGGAGTGAACCTGGTGGCCATGAGGACAAATACTCAACTATGACATTCGGTGACGGTTGCGATGTGTTGTGAACTGACAGAAGTTGAAAATGTGGACCACTGGATTCCGATCCAGTGGTAATGTGCTGGTCATGGAACCTGAAGTTCCTGGGTTTGATCCCTGGAAGGCGGGATTTGGGAGCACACTGCTGAAGAGTCATATATGCAGACGAATTAGCTGTCCAATGCTCTCAGGTTTTCAGTGTTCCTTCAACTGATGTCAGTGCATGATGAATACCAATTTGAAATCTAGCGAAGTAACCAGTGAACAGAAAAATAGAAGTCACAGAAATTAAAATGCAATCTGTGCTGAATTCAATAGATGTAGATCACGACACTACCAAGGGAATTTTTTCCAACACTGGTGCAGAGTACACTCCACTATTGTTGGTTTGTATATGACAGACTATAAAGTGAGAAAGGAAGCATATGGAATTCATAGAAAACAAACTTCAGTGTGATCGTCTAGTTAATTCGTTTGAAAATGGTAATCTGAATTGGACTTTTAGATATGTCTCAGCATTTTTAAATTAACATGTAGTTCTCATTGTGTAGTTTGTTGGTTCATTGAATATGCAGAAAAGTGGTAAAAACGATTGTTTCCAAGTTCAACTGTGATAATGCAATAAACTTGTCCTTTTACTTACTCTTCAACAAGGTCATTTGTGAATGTATGAGAGTAAGACGTGGGCACATGTTGCAGAATGTAATTCCATTTTAGTTAATTTATTAGATGTATGGCACAGTTGAGACAGAATCATCTACTGGATTACGTATTGGGCAGAATTTATTGTCCATAGTCATATCAAGATAACTACATAACTTTGAGACATCCTTCACATAATCCTAGTTTTCTCATCTACTTTGTGATATGAATAGTAAGATTTTTCATACATTCGGAACAGGTTCCGAGTTATTCCTGTTGTGTGTATTTGATGTTCATTCGTCAAATAAAGATCCAGTAATCAATCCCTCCTTCTACCGTGCTATGCCAGTTTTAGAGATTTTCACCCTGTCCCATCCTATCGTGTGGCTATGTGTAACTGCATATATGGCTTTGACCGAGCCTTTCTCTCGATTCCTTATCTTACTAGGATCTATCATCTGTGACCTACCTAGGTTTTTGTGCTTGAATAACTTATTTGACCAACCGTAGTTGACTACTTTGACCTATGCATCTGACCTCGCTATCGTTCCAAAGGATTACGTGAACTAAATTATTTCAGCCAATTGAACCAATTGGGTCTTTTGACCTACAAAACGTATTTCTTAATAACTCCAGCCTTGTTGAGAATTCTATATGATGTCTTTTATGTGTCTTCATTGTCTGGGAATACTGACCTCCTAGTGTTACCATCTCGATTTTTTCTTTTAACCTGAATGATCACTTTGTTAAAGTAGGCACAACTTTCATAACACTAACAAAAATGTTTGTCCTGAATTAACAATCATTTCTCTTCATGATCAATACATAAATTTCTTTTTCACTGGTTTTTCCGGATAGTATCTTTAAAAAAATGAACTTAACCTAAACATAAAGAATTATTTACAAAATACACGATCATGTTTGCACACAAATATACACACCCAAAAAAGAAAACGTATACGTTGTTAGAAGAATAACATGAACTACATTCTGTAAAATAAATTTAACACCTATCAACAAACTACAGAGCTCTATATGAACGCATCAGTTTTCCTAGTGACCATATAACAAACTTAAAAGAAAGACTCTGATAGGTTCCCAGTTCTTTGCACTAGACAACCGGCATATGTTGATTACTGCTTAATGAACAAATTGTGTACAAATAAGCAATTAAAAACACCCTATGATCTGACAAGATCGACAAGAAAAAAACTGTATGTTACAACGCATTGACCTCAAAGATTAAGTGGTGAGTTATGTTGAAGGTAATTATGAATCATATTAAAAACAATTAACATTCGTGTTGATTTTCACCCATATAACATATTTGTTAATGTGCAACACTTAATGTTTCGCTGATACCATATGCAACGTTCGACATACAATTTGTTCACTTAGAAAATATTCATCAGTAAATAAATAAATATCAAGCACTTACATAATTTTACAAATGAGAAAGAAAAAAAGAGGGTAGCTAGGATTATATTTTTTTAATATGCTTAGATCATAAGTGCATTTTTGATGGTAGTTGTTGATAAATGTAACACTTTTAGCGTTTAATTATAATTAGCGATCATTCGAAATGTTTGAGCAATTATTCACATTCTGCCGAACGAAAGCAAACTATCAAAGTTACCCCCAATGCATTTGTTTAGTGTACAACTTATGACAGAATCTCATAAGTATGCGCTACAGCTTAGAAAATTATTATTAGATCCTTAAACTTGAAGTTATACCGAAGAAAATGCTTTCTTATCAGTCCAGTGATAACGCAGAAACTTGCTGTGAATCATCTAAGATACTATTTTAAGTCGTAGGTGGGTTAACTTTAAAATAATAAGCAGAATCACTTATTTATATACAATACTGGGTAAACATAACGCAAAACAGTAAATTAATTACTTACTCTTTTCAGCAATGTCATTAGAGAAGTAAAATTCTTACTACAAATGACTATTGTATTCACTGGAAATCTTTAGCCACTTCTGAATAAGTAATACTATTTTTGTGATTATCTGGTTTAAGTTTTTATATTTAAAACTAATATTTTAAAAACTTATTCTATAAGTTGACTAGTGGACGAAATAATTAGCACACTGCAAATGACTCAAACGGTACTTTTATAAATAACGACTAAGTTTATACGATTTAACAATATTCAAGGGTGAAACACTGTAAAAAATAGACTGATGGTATTTTCAAAGTTTTCCAGTCACGTTTGGTTCTTTGAGTTAAATGTTTTGGTAATAAAGCTTTTATTGTCTTTCTCGACAACACCATCAATACTAAATTCACATTGAAGCTGATGCTGATTATGTCGGCTAGAATAAAATTGAGAACTTTACTATTGAAGCATACAACAAAGAGAACTCAACAATACCAAATTAATTTACCTGTGCTACAATTACCTTTCATCACTTATTAATGACTTAACTGCAAAAGTTTATTAAGTTCTTCATTGTAAAAATTCTCTCTGAAGTAAATTCGATGTATTATTCTTGTGTAAAAAGAGACTATCAATTGAACCATGTAATAGCAATCTTTGTGACTGAAATCAAAACACGAACATTCAGCTACTGGGCTTTTTTCCATTGTCTGATTAATTACTAATAATGTACACAATTTACTTCAAACTTCAAACATCTTGTAAATATTCGAGTTCACTGTGATCTTGAAATCCAACCTCTTTTGAAGTAGGAAATCTGAAGAATTAGTTGCACCAAAAACTTCTTGGATAATTTATTTGATCACCTAAAAAATGGTATTTTTAAGGATTTGATTCCTTAGCTTGATAGATGTAACTATAACGAGAAATTCAGCCTGTATCAATTAGGTGAGTTATTTTAAACAGTTTATTGTTATATTTCTTAATCAGTTAGTTTTGAAGTTCGACAAGTAATTATAATGGTAAAAATTGATTTGATCTCCAAACATTCATCGAGCACATTAAATTTATATTGTTTATGAATATTATTATTTTCGCGTCCAGTTGAAAATTGAAAGTACTGAAGTGTCTGTCTTCATGATTGTCTTCGTACTATATGAGGTACCAGACAAACTAGGTAGCGTAATAAAATGTTTTCCGTCAGTTAAAAAAGTACTCAATGAGTTCAAAGTGGACATGTTTCTTGCTAATATCTTCTTTAGTTTCGTATTCATAGGGGTGGGAAAATTAAAACTACGATAACCAGCGGCTTTCCTCAGTTTTCTAAATAAAACGTTGAGAATTTCTGTACAAGGTGAGATAAAGATTATTAAAAGGTCTAAACATGCATCACATTGAAAATAAGGCTTTCCGTCAATTCCAAGACTAACACTTTTCAAAGAAGCTATAGAGAGTCATGTGGCAATAGAAGAAAGGTGTGTTCCTAAATCAAAAGTCTTATCAGCAGTGAGTTGATTTGACCTTATTTATATGATAATTACACTCCCCTTTCCTACAGATTTAAACCAGTTAAGGTAACTGTCCTAACCTGCATAACTTGACTTCTTAATTGTCGCTAGTTTATGCAAGCAGTCTCATGTTATTCCTTGATTATTTCGTTTTTTTAACGCTGTTCTTATTTCGAGTGAATCCTACCCATCAAATAGCACTATAAATTAAAATCGAAAGTTGAGACTACAAGGCAACATTATTGTTGGTAGATGATATCATAGAGGATCCTCTTAAAAGAGAACAATTATTATCACATATTTCTGAAGGAGCTTTTACTGTTATACCTAAAAATTTAGATTCACATAAATATGATGTAGCATGACATTGTAGACCTTAATTTGTATTTCATCAAAAAACAGTTTTTTTTAAGACGAAAAGGTGTCATGAAAAAGTAAGCACTTACCAAACAATGTTGATAAAAGAAAAATATGTTTCATTTCATTTGCCGAAAAGCTTATTCATGAAAGTGCTGATCACTGATCCAATCAACGTTTGCTGAATTGCTACATCAAAGCCCTTACGTCTGACTAGTTAATGCACAAATCTAAGTAGGGATTGTTCTTACATCAACAAAGTAATAATTTACCAAAGAAAAAGACTCTCAGTGTCTTATAATGCATATAGACGATTAATCATGTGATAGCTTTCATATGTGATACAGAAAATGACGACTAGTAGTTGCCGTAGTAACAGTATTGCTTGTCAGTATGACATTTCGAAGTAAAAAAATACAATTTGAAACTGATTTCATGTACATGTTATATGAATAGGAATTTTGAAACATATGTTCTTATCTAGTAATGATGGGCAGTGGCTAGCAGCGGAATACAGGACTCGTCAGCTGGATGCACCTGCCTCCAAGGGAGTGCGCATCCTGGATTCTACTGCTAGCCACTGCCTATCATTACCATACATAATTAAAACACAGGCAATATCAAGACATCTGCACAGGATCCCATATGCCAACACAGACTGACCAATTCAGTCCAATCAACGACGGCGTAATACGAGCAATAACACTACTGTTTTCTTGTCACTACAAAGTTGTTACTTAGTGAAGAAATGAATCAGATGAGGACTTCTGGACTGTTTCAATAAAACATCATTAAAAAAAGAAGTAGTAACCGGAGGTGTTTAAGCAATTGTTTGACCTTAGTTTTCTCTTTGAATGAACAGACAAGCTCAATTGTCTTGAATTTCACTGAGTTCTATAGACATCGAAGGCATCAAACTTGATTTGTGTGTTCAGAAAGAAGCTGTAATAAACCTCTGTCACCTTTTTCGATCTTTCTAGACTATAACATAATGATGCCATCCTTTATCAACCCTAGATATTCATACCTTCACTCTCGTTTAGTTGCATCATCTTTTTTTACATCGAATGCTTCTTAATAACCAAAATTTAGTCACGAAAATTCCCGTGCTTCGGTTAGTAACTTATTTTTTGTATAACCTACTTACGCAATCTTATAATATTAAGCCTATCTATTTAGATTTCTACTCCTGTCTTCCCTTTATTCGAGAAATTTCTTTTGGATTGCGTAAATAATAATGATATTTTGTTACCATTTTCGTAACCTTCCTCAAATATACCATTATGACTGACCTTTACTGGATGACTACTGCTGTTCGTCTTAAACGCCGGCTGATGTTCTTTTTAATCTCAATGAATTAAAATATACTTTCCTGAAAAACTTCAAAACTTAGTATTCTGGACTGTAAGCAGTTGACACGACACCACTGAAATAAAATGGATCCTTTTATCCTCCTTTCACTGTTGTTCATGTGCTTTTCAAAGCTATGAAGAGGAATTGGTTTATGAAGTTATCTTTCGCTTAAAAAGACATTGATCAGCAAAGAAGACTTTACAACTTCTCATCACAGCTATGCAGTAGCAGCAGTTGAAAGATATAATGAATAACTCTAACTAGGGTCAAAGGTTAATACCAGTTAGTAATAAAACGTGTTGAACTGTATGTAAATCAAAAGATTAAAATGGTGTGATAAGTAAGATAATGAGTCAAACCTGAGTAGCAAAAATATGCACATGTAAAACTATGAGTCAGACCCAGTAGAGCTTTACTGAGTTGAGGCAGTGGAACTGGAATTTCATAACAAGAGAACGAGAAAGATTTCAACCAGTTAGTCTGTGCAGGGATGAAAGGAATATAGATTGATTGGTGAGAGAATTATTCAACAAAATCTAAGTTATAAAATTAGGATCGTGATACCATAAGGGAGTGCAAAGAAGATTATGTACGCAGAATTCAGAATCCTATTTGTGGATAGCTAGAGCTTCTGAAAGACGAGGAAGATGCAGTCAGAATCCCTTCAAATGGCTTGGTTTGCTATTATATATCACACAGAATGAGTTGTGTACAAATACTACGTGATCAAATAAACAGTATGTTCTGTTAGGCCCCGCAACATATAAGAACCAACCTCTCTATACGATTTTTACGCTCCTCATTCAAGGTTCCTGTGCCCAAATAATCAACTTCTGTTTCATCATTGGCTTTTGAATATATATCTTAATGATTTTTCTCTTTGCTTATATGCTACAACATTTGATAGCGTCAGACAGAATGCCACTACGAAATGAGAACAGTATATTGTATTGGAGGAATGATTAGCTGGCCTAAATGAGATAAATCAAAAAGTACTAACTAGACTTCATTACTTTTTACTACTGTCACGTACTACTATGATTCGATAGATAGTAGCATAAAGATATCCTTCCAGGACCACGATTTACAGGCAGAAACCGATGAGTAAACAAAAAACCACAACAATCTTTTATTTTTGCTGTGATTCTGTGAAGCCATATTTATTTAATTTGGTGTTTTTTTGCAAACTGTGGGAAGTACATTTAATTGACAGTCTGTTGATTTCGTGAATTGCCTCACCCACACAGCAGATTTTATCAATAAACTGGAGGGCACGTTTGGTAACTTATTCGAATACTATTATAATAATGAAGAGAAATTGTCAATGCATATCTCTTTAGTGGTCCGCTTGAACTTGGGGCTACCAACAATATTTTCCCCCAGAAATATTAAATTACATTTATTTTTTCGAGTTTGTTTTAATTTATCAAACGCGGCAAGTTTGAAAAGTTGTAAACTAGTCCTTTTTCAGAATAATACATTGTGTTTCTCGGATACTGTATCCAGAGGAGCACTTTTTTCTACTGGCTAAATGAACCACAATCACTTAACACTGGATGGTAATCCGGCACCACCTGGCTGCTTCATAGTATTACCTTTGACGGTGTAATGGTGTATATAATTAAAACGCCATAATCATTTTATTTGAAAACATCTTTTAGGAGTGAATTTGTTTATTTGTTACATGCTAAGAATTCCATATTGGATCAGACATATTGTTTGGAATAAAGCAATCATTATTATTATAGGTGCGCATTCTCGATGTAAATTTGCTGAAACTTAAAACTGGTATGCCATTTCAGAACCCTCTGTTTTACCAATAAAAAAATTAAAATTTAGGGCAGTATTCATCCAACTTTCCTAGATTTTTTCTTGAAACACGCCCTATTACCAAATTATTTCAGAATATGGTAGCTTTCGACTCTTCTTGAGAAGACGACACCTTCAAATTATCTGTATTACTCCACCAAGAACGTCGGATGAATGTCATTATTCATAAAGAAGCCTTTCAGTTGAGTTCGTGGTATGTAGAAATTTAAGTAACTTAATTAGAACAGGATTGATTTTCCTCCGTCCTTTTTAACTCATTAATTAAGACGAAATGAAAAATCCTATAATCCTTCACTTTCTTGAATAATCAGTAACAACGCAGTTACATGGTTAGATGTTACTTTATCACTAGGGTAATTTACTTCACAACTTGGTAAATTTGAATTATTAACTGACCGTGCGGAATCAAAGGCGTAAAACTGTGCGTCTTAGATTCTGCTGCTGGCCAGTGAAATTATAGTATAATGAATCACTGAACAGTAGTATGGCATTCCCACAAGACTCCATATGTCAGTAGAGATCGTTTATTTTGGTCCATAATAAAATCAGAATTACGAGTATCACTAAATTAAAACTGTGAAACGTTGGATTAGAGGTAGTTCTTGTGATCTTGTATCCTGAAATAAAACGTTTAGGCTTTTGAAGCGGTGATTCTTGGGTCTAAGATTCAGCAGGATTATCATCACTTACTGCGCTACATGTACATCTATCTGAGTCATAAACAAGAAGAAACTGGCGTCACGTATCCCAGTGTTAGCCACCATCAAAAAAGTTGTAACATAATGAAGCAGACTATATTCACATGTAATCTCAATATAACCTTTTATGGTATGCGCAAAAAGAGTTGAAGACAACTTCCACATGTCATGCTAAACAATAGAGGTGTCAAATTCCTGGCAACTCATGATTATTGCTGAATGTAAATTAGCAAGAAATATAATAAAAGTCACAACAAAACTGTTGAATCTTAAGCTTACTTTAAATTGACCGTTGTAGACAACATTTGAATTCGTACACTTGTGTTGGTCATTTATACAGTTCAAATAAGGATGATATTCGCCTTCACCAGGCCATCGCGAACTGTATGGCAACAGCTTGACGGCTGTTCCCACCATTCGAGTTGTTGGCTTGCATAAATTACTAATATAAGTGTTACTGTTGGTGGTCCCGGCAGTTACAGCCGCAGCAGCAACAGTAACTGTGTTATTCTTACTATGCATCTCAAGGGTGTGGTGGTTTTCAGTCACTGTATTACTATGTAGATTCAATATTGTTTTGTCAATCACTTTTGATAACACACTTTCTTCCATTGATTTTGAAGCATGGTTAAAAATCTTAGATGTACGACTATATACTCTTGGTGGTACTGGTGGTGCCGAATAATTTTGCAAGGAGGTAGATATAGGAAAAGGGATGGTAGTTCCTGCAGCAACCGGTAAAACAGTGAAAGACGCACGGCATGTAGTTTCAGCAGTCAGAGGTGATGAATGATTTTTCTGAAGGGAATAGAAGTATGTGTTTGGTATAGGCTGTAAGTTAGTTGAATATCTTGTTTGGGGTGTATGTGCCGATGAAGATGCAGATACATAAAGGACATCATGACTATTAAGCGCTCCAGTTATGTGAGTTGACTGTCTTTTGAAACTATTATTCAGACTTCTGTGATTGCAATGAACTATATCATATGGTTTTTGCATCACACACCCATTTGTAGCTTGATTTCTCTGGCTGCTGTAAATTAAAGGCTGAAAAATAAAAGTGAAACCGTACAGTCACCGAGTAAACTGAAGGGATGTTAACTTCAAAAATGGTACTAATGTTTATCAAAGAGAATATCGAATGACGAATTGTGTGTAATAAGTTGGTAATATCATGTGAGTTGTCTACTGTTAAATGATTCTATAATGACTATTAGAAATGATAAAACTGTCTCCTGTTTTCAAATCGCCGGATTCACTGATGATTGACATACAGAAAGTATTAAAGAGGATTCAATAAAACGATCTTAAGGGTAGAATATCTTTTGAACCATACATGATCTGGTTCTAAAGACAAAATTTGGGAAAATAATACCAAAGCCAATAAAATTCAACCTCTTACAAAATTGTTTTTGCTATATCAAAACTGGACTTTATATTATATATTTGGAGTAACTAGTAAACCTGACTTTCAGCTTTATATTCATCAATCTGAGGCCTACACGATTCATAAGTTTTGTACGCATAACAAGGTCAAATCGTCGGTCCAAAGTAAAACTAACTGGAAAGTTCTGCGTTTAGTTATTTTAATTCTCATCTAATATTGAAATGTGCGCTAAATTTCGATCTATCAACTAACGCTGAACAGTTTACATGATCCATATAACTTCAAAAATGCCTCAACGCTGTCGATTTTTATTTGGCGTTAGGATAGCTAAGGAACCACCGATTCCAATGTTGGCCAGCATTCAGAAAACTTATCAGGTTAGATAGCCATGTTTTCGTAATTATGCAAACAAGACCAGTGGTCCTAATGTCTAATTATGGACCCTTTCTGACAAAAGCGTTAGTTATTTTTGCCATGTATACGCTATATGACTTTCATCGTCACATAAGTGAATGGTATGAAATGAAAAAACTCAGTGAGAAACCGAACATTCTCTGTTTTCTGTCAGGAAAACAGTTACGTATTTTTTTACTTCAATAATATTCAAGTATGCTGCTACACAAATATGCTTATATCACATAAGTATAAATTTACTATAAGCTGAACACGAAATGAATAAATTCATCGTGAACAGAACATTGCAACTGTCTTCACAGAAACATTATAGCTTAATAAATAGTCAAAAACATCAGAATGTATCCAAGACGATAGTTCGATGACTTCCATCTTGGGTGATTATCTAAATAACACACGATGTGTGTGCGTCAGTGGGCGAATATTCTGAAACATACATCCACAGAAATAGCCCTCTTTGATCTAGGGTGTTTATTGGTATTGTAACTGTCACCATCAGTGTGAAGAAGGAATCTGTTAGCATCTAGATTGACAAGCTTTTAGAAAAAGTTCACAAATGATTAAATATGTATGTCATATTACCTCCTTCCTGTTAATCTACTAAAATATTTTAGTTTAATGAATCAGCTTCTTGTCACACCTTTATCCATTGTCACCATAAACAAAAATTTGAAATCAGCTTTTTTCCTAGTAAAAAGGTACTTTTTCGTTTGAATTTGAGTATGAAATAAGGGTAACTGTAAAGATCACCCTAGCAGTAATCAAAAATATCAATCAAATTTCCCCATTTCGGCTAGAAAGGCAGGTCATAAAATACAGAAATCTAATTGGTTACTTCAGCTTTTTTAGAGTGGCCCTCAATGTCATTCATGAAATAACTGTAAATAATTTAAATAAGCTGAGTAGAATTTTTAAATACTCTAAGTTTTTATTTATTAAACATATCTGTCTTCGGTCTCATAATCATTATAGTTAGACTAACTGTTAAAATTAAAATGTTCTTCTGGCTTTATGCGGTTAACACAATTAAATGGGACCGCATATGAACTTAGCTCATGTACCTTAGTAAGTCATCAAAAAATGATTCAAATACTCAGTCTTTGGTGGTCTGACCCCTGTAAGCTTTTGTTTAGTTCTATAACCACTGGGTTAAATTGAATGACTGAGAATTTTGCTCTTGGTTCGGACAATATTTTCTTCTAAATGACTACTTTTATATACAAGTGTTTGTGGGTGATAACAAGATACTCATGTCAGAACTGTAAACTGGTCAAATATCTGATCTTTGTGTTCTTAACCTGGTGTTTCCAGTTCACTGCCACTTACAACATAGATACTGTACAGGTGTTACTATATTCACGGAAGCAATAAGATCTGACATTGTGTTTTGACTACAACTTTGAAGGACAAAACATGGAGCATTTATTTAGGTTTTCTTCAGTTGAATAGGAATGTATACTTATTAGTATTAAACTTTCTGAAGCTGATAACTGTTTGAAAAAGCTTCAAACGCCGACACCTTACAGTGTATTGAAGTGGAAACAGTCACTGGCTGTGTGTTGAGAATTCCTATTTGTCAAGTGCTCATCTTAGTCCTCCTACTACTTAATTTAGAACTCATAACAACTGAGTTCGATTTGAATATCCCAAGTATATCAACAGCATAAAATAAAATGTACAGCAGTTGACTGCTAAGGATTATAAGCTTATTTGTGTGAAAACCTCAAGTTTTGATCTATATCTCTATAAAAAAGGTTCTATGACAACAGTAACCTTACTCTGACATCATGCTTTAGAAATGAATAACTTCATATGCAGGTTAAATTCCGATTCCAGCTACCACTATATATGTTCATGACATAATTCGATTTTGTGGTTTGTCGGAACTAATTTATTGATTTCAGGTTGGTAATTACCATGAACTGAGATCATTTAGAGAAATACTGCGAACCTGAGATGACATTCCTCAGCAGTACACATCCATGACCCGGCTTTTTCCACTCCCCAGGGTTTGAACTTAGGACCTTCAGGTTCCATGTACAGCACGTCATCACTGAGCCACTGGGTAGTAATCCAGTGGTTCATATTCCCTACTTCTGTCAGTTAATGTTATACTCCTCTCTCCATCCAGTCCTGACCTTGAGTTACTGTCTTCATATTTGACTTGGTTGGCACCACTGGTTACAGCTTCTCATTGGAACTTCGGGAGTAACCTCTTGAAGGTAATCACCAATGACCACTATATTAATTCGATTTCGTGGTTTGTGGAGATTTATCTATTGATTCCAGATTGATATTCATCATGATATAAATGATGAAAATGGCACAGATTTCCTAAATACTTGCTTAAATACCATTTAAGCAGCTGTGTGATTAGAAATAACTTACAGAAAATGAATACCATCCACATGCTGTCTAATAAAAAATTCCTAAAACAGAATTAGGATATAGTGTAGAAACAGACAAAATGAACAGTTGACACAAAAGAAAAGTATTTATTTCTTTAATTTAACAAATGTTAATTTGTTTTACCTTTCAAGGTTTTTTAGACAAACACAAAACGATGAATCATGAATTGAAGTGGACATATAATTTGCTTACACGTTTTCTGAACTCTCTTCGTCTTAGGTTAGTTATCGACAGGTGTAACATGTTATATAATTCCAAAACATTGAACAAAAAACAATCAAGCCAGACATAGTTTAAAAAAGAGACATGATCCTCTGAGAAGTAAGACTGAAATTTAGAAAACTCCGAAATTAAAATCGGAAAAACAGATGTGAGTTATTTTTTTGAGTTGCAAGATATAACTCCTAATCAGATATCAGTTTCCTTTTACTCATCCAGAATTTATTTATCTGTCAAAAGATGCTAAACTAATTGATCTTTGCATTTTGAAGCCTGCAGGCTGACTAATCATTGCGAAGAATTTTCTGGCATATACGAAAAAGAAAAAGCAAACTTTCCAACTACCTCTCATTCTATCGATGACATCTCTTCCAGCGATGCTCAGTAACATAATGAGAGGAAATCCACAATTTTAAGTTACAACAGTCTACTTTTGAACCATACAAGAAAGAAGACATTTGCAGAATAAAGTGAGCTTATTTTATTTTACCACTTTTCATCTTCTGTAAACAGCTTACAGCTGAAATGAAGCATAAGTATCAATAACGGCATTATATATATTAAATGTTTAAAAATAAATGAATATATGAAATCCAGGATCAACATTAAAGTAGTGAGTTAAGGAAACACAAGATTAATAACCACAAACCTAGGTCAAAATCAATGTCAATTTATGTCTAATGAGATTTTTAAAAATTCTGCAGCTGTGAAAAGATGCGACAACAAACAGACAGGAATGCAAAAAAAGGGGTTGTTAAATAACTGGCAGGTTGCGTAATGACATTAAAAAACTGGAAGGACGTTAGGTTGAGTGATTCGTTGAACTGCATCATCTCTTCTTTAAATTAGCTTTCAGAAAATTTTATAAGTAACTCGGTTATTTCATATTACAATAAATTCTTGTTTTAACGAAAGGAAAAATTATTGGGAATAAATAAGAAGCGAAATTATTCGATTCCTAATATTTTAATGGCAATAGGAGCTGAAAATTATCTGTTGATACATTTCAGTCTGTTTATTAGAAATGTCAGGCAATGAAATAGTGTTACTATTGTTATTGATGTTGGTACAGGGTGATAATTAGAAATAAAATGAAAGTCTGTCGCATTCAAACTAGGGACCTTCAGAATAAAGGCTTGATGCTCTGCCATCTGAGTAATGAAACTCAGCTACTAACTTAGTTTTAACTTCAGTGCTTGATAAATATGTAGGAAAACTTTTATCTTCATTTACGGTCATTATGCTTGAATTGGCTAGCCTGTTAGTCATTTATTCAAGTCTATCACGAAATACTAAAACTTATCAATGAACTACCTTCTTAGTGAGTTATAAATTAGTATAAAAATTGTAAGTAATTACTTTGTTGTACGAAGCATATTTTATTAACACATTGAAGAGTAAATGTGAAGATTGAGTAAACTGCATATAGTGGGTTGTAATGAGTACGAGTGATCAATAAAGACTGAAAATACCACACAATACACTACTTACAGTTATATTGGCTGTCGTTCGCTCTCTTGACTACACCAGAAACTTACTCTGGCATTTAGCATATCTATCATGTCCACTGGTAAACGGCTGCGGTTCCGATGTTTCTGTGAATGCTATGCTAATTAAACCTATTCGCTTGCAAGTAGTGACTGCCTTTTGGCAACATCTCTAAGTGAAAGTTTTTTCCCAACAAAATCCTGATGAAGATGATTTTTCCACAATCCTACAAAATCCACGAACTTGGTGAAACGTATTAAATGTTCAATAAAACAAGAGTCAGCTAACTTCGATTGACATTTCTCAAATAGAAAATTTTATTTTTCCTATGTAATGACCGGAAATCCATTAAAAAGGAATGAACATGAAGCTGACGATTAACGTGCTCGTCGTGTTTAAACCTTCACAGAGCTTCTAATGCGCGTTGAGATATAATTTTGTAGCAATGAACTAGTGGTAATCCTGTGCTTTTTGGTTTCAAATAGTCTTGAGGCTAACTGTTATCCCCGATAGGAAGTCCTTTGAAAACTCAAGAATATATCTGGAAAAGTGTCGTATCCACCTATAGCAGTTAGAATATTTTCTAATGGGGACAGAACAATTAGGATAACTTCAAAATAATCTACTATTTAATATACTCAGCAATGACATTTGAACTAATTAATTACGTGAACTACAAAGTTTAGGTAATACGCCATTTTTACAGACCAGCATCATTGAACTCGAAGGTAACAAGTTTCCCTTTTACTTACTTGACTCGCTTGAGATCCACTGAAATTACGTATTCTCTGATGATTACAATTAACTTGTTGGAACTGGTTTGGGCATGCGAAACTTGGTGATAGTATACAGGCTGGTTGTTGAATAGAAACTTCATTCACCTGCGGTTGTCGGTGCACTTGCTTCAACTGCTCTTGCTGTTGATGGTAATAATAACTGTGATGAGGCGGTGGATATGTTCCTAGGTGATCTGACTGAACACCATTTTGATTTTGAATATTTAGAAAATGCAAAAATTGTTCTAATTGAAATGATTTTCTGTCGTTAGCTTTTGCAATATCTGTCGGGATTGATTTCTTGGTCTCGTTTTCACAGGCGTTACTATCTGTTGGTGGTAAACTACCCGCACGTGAATGACCATTTTTATCATTTGTAAAATATCGAAAATATTGTTCAGCAATCATTCCTATCGACTGTCTTCTACGTATATTACTTATTAATCCGCTATCTTTATTGATTCGCCACCATTTCCAGGACTTTTTTGATTCTAAATTGTCATCAAGTAGGTTGTCAGTAAGGGAATTTCTAGTAGGCGATATTTCTACCTTGTTTCTTTGAAGTAATGACCTGTGTGGAGACTGTAAAAAGAAATAATAAATAAGTTTTGTAGAATAGTGGATAAAAGATTGAAGTAAAAAAATAACCATCTTTGGTGACTTAGTTTGTCTTAGTTGTCAAGTTTTTGTATCGCATTGAGAACAAACGCTATGATCAGAAAAACGTCTGTCAATCCATAACTTTTCTATATCCTGTGTTCTGAATTAAATTTTCAAAAAAATAGAGTCGAATTACTTGACCCCTGTATAGCAACGGTACATCACAAGCGTTTAGAAACAACAAATGATAGTCATTCCACAAATGGTGGCTTTCGTACTCCAGTGAATAGTACTACAAAGTTTAAAAGCGATAGATCCTGGGTTCAAGTCTCAGCGCGAACAGAATCACTCACAGTAGTGCACGCACATCTCACCAGCGAGGCCCCAATAGAACGAAACACGCATCCCAATACCAGCCAGCAAGATGGATACTTCAGCATAGTCATTTATCAAACTGAAAGTAACTTTTCATGAAAAATCACAAATTACTTGCCTTTTTATCGTGAACGAATATTCATTTTAATGATGGATCGTGAGTAGCAGTGGAATCTAGGATGCACATTTTGTCCCATTTGGGACTCATCAGCCGGATGCACCTGTTTCCCAGTGAGTGATGTTGTTCCCACCCAGATTCGGACTCGGGAGTGATCGCTTCAAACGCCAGAGCGTTATCCACCACACCACCGAGCCTCGATAGCCACTTCTTGTTCGACGGGTATAGTTTTTAGTATAATTGTTTTCATATGATACCGTCGTTGATTAGACTGAATAGATCGGTCTCTATTGGCATATAGGCTCCTGTGGGGATGCCTCGATATTGCCACAACATAATTAGAACACTTAGAACAGTTATACTGAATATTTGTTTATTTATTTGTGACAAGGTGTTCGATGAATAGAATTAAGACCTCCTTTTTCTAATATCAGTTTGAAATACTCAAAAAAATGTATAGGGGACTAATGAAACTCAAGTTTTTTCACTGTTGGTTCATCACTGTATGGTTTGAGCTGAGGGACCAACTGCTGAGGTAAGTGTAATTCACTTACGTGAATAAAGCTTCAACATGGATATTTTCCAAATAAGTATCAGTTGACAACACACCTTTCACATGCACAAACTGAAAAAGCATCATAATGACCATACAAATAAAGTGGAAACTTAAGCTAATGCTTTCGGCTGTTTTTGCATCAGAAATACTAAGCTCTGAATGACTAGATAAGGCAGCAAAATGGTTTCATGGGGATTCAAGTGTTTTCTTAACCGGAATTCTAACTTTTGGAACTTCCATCGTTCCGTTTTAATGACCGTTAGGAAATCAAGGTTACTTCATCTTGGAAGATGATGTTTTTATTCTTTCACTTAAAAAGAGAATTGGACGTTGGAGAACACTGCTGATGCGGATCTAGTTTTCTCAACCACAGCGGCATTTCAGACATTGTGGTAGTATATTTTAACTCAACATTTATACAGGTATTGCTTTAGTAGTCTAAGAATTCACAGTTATATACTTTTTAGATGAGCAAGTGGTCATTTTAAGGCTAATCAAATTACTGTTATGATGATATGTACTTGTTTCACAAACTGTGCACCACATCTTGTCTTAATAAACAGCTCTGGAATATGTGCCAAACTAATTCAGTTATATGAGTTGAATTCGTAGGAGTACACCATAAATAATCTCATCTACAAGCAAGTGAAATACCTATCCGGTTTTCAGGTCACTGTGATCTGACTGGTATAACCTATAGATCAGCCTGAGTGGTTCCTAACCACTCAAGTTTTTCAGTAGTAGTATATTTTGCATGTGTTCAAAATGAAAATGAGTACTTTAACTTCCTGACTATAGAGACAAAATCAATGAAAAAAGCATTCAGATGGGTTTCTATGGTTCCGAATAAATATTCAGCCTTCATTTTCAGAATTGCAGCTGCTTGAAATAAATTTCTTCAGTATGGGTTTACGAAGAACAGGAAATGCTAAATTTTTATATGTTTTTTGCTCTTGCATAAATTGCTTACTGATATTCATGTGAGATTAAAAAATTAAAAAGCCGACGATATATGCGCTGTATTGCACATTTTGGTGGTTAGCGGTGAAACTCATGATATACGTTTTGTCCTATTTTGGATTCGTCAGGAGGATATACTTGCACCTAATTGAGTGATAATGTCCTCACCCTTTACCATTGCTTTTCCCTTAGGCCAATAGACATGAAAGCAAATTAAAAAAACGCGTTTATGTTTACATCACTGTAACGTGGCTGACAAGATCTTCGGATCAGCATGAATTGTTTTTACCGACTTATTCTATTGAGTGATATATATTTCATCATTTCATGAAATTATTGCGTCAGGGATCACACCTCTTGATACTGGACATGTGTTTTACACCGAAAACGTTGCTGACACTATCCATTTATCAGAAATGTCATCGTGGTCTGTGTAATTCATAAATCATGTAGGAATTTATCATCCTACTGAATATAATCTAACTAGTTTAATATTGTTTTCATGACTTATAGCCCATTAATAATGCTCACACCAGTTAACGCTATTGAATAAGAAGTGTTGGAAAGCTTTTTGTGGAAAAAAGCTTCTCTTTGCATCAGTTAAATTATATGAGACCAGACCATCATTTCTATATTCCCAAAGGATGGTGCAGGGATAAGCAACTCGAGTGACATCTATTCCAGAATAACTCCAGCTAACAATCTGACTACTAACGAATTCTTTATTCATTACATGGTATACGTTGCAGATAAAAAGGAGTTTAAGCTAACAATTTCCACAAGTTTTACTCTCATAATATTCAAAGTACTGTACAAATGCAGTAAGATACTAATAAGAAAATTAGGTTTTTTAAAAATTTGATTAGATTTTAGTTGATCTTTGACTATGCAAGACTTCAAATATACTTTGATTTTCAAAAATTCATAGATGGTAAGTAGGTTTCGTCTTGAAACAATGTCTGGCAAACTACTCACTTCTTTACAGCTCAAAAATTAGTCTGATACTTTTATTCAAAATAAAACCATGTTCTGTTTCATGTAGGTTGATTAAAGTATCTTTAAACAAAATAGTGTATTCTCTACGAACAAAACAACCACCTATAAAAGCTTTATAAAAAGTTTAAGAGTTAAAAACAAAGCTGATTTTCAGTTTTTTTACCACAAAATGAGCGGACTGATTAACACAAGAAAGTTTGTATTTCAGTTATCGGGCTTTTCTTTGTCGTTGGTGATACATGAAGGTCCTGGTTGTCGTATTCTCGATATTTTTCTATAAATCGAAAGCCGACCCTCTACGGTAAGCATCTTCTTATTCTGTAATCACAACTTTTGATTTGGCAAAACAGAATCACCATTTTACTAATTAGCTATTGTTCCTTATGAAATGTATTTCTGAGAGATTAGCTGAAGACATTGAAAGCTAAATTGCGATACATCCGTTGTTTAGGGTCCTAATCTAAAAACCTAGATCAGACTTTTCTCAATAGCTCTAGCGACAATAGCTTTAGCGAGAAAACGATTTACGTAGTTTATGCTGATCAGAGAAATGTGTTGTTTATATTCATAAACACAACCTTGTGCCATCTGTTCATTAATGTACCTACTTTATTGAAGGATTTAAACTATAAGCAACCTGGAGAAATGGGGTAGTATAATGGTAGCGCATAATAAGTTATGAAAGGTAATATCTAGAAACGTGGGTTGTTATACAATGTATTCAATGTTGTCCTGTCATTTGCGTCAAAAACCTGCTTCTACACTTTTTAAATTTGATTCAACCAGCATTAAGAACATGGCGGTAACAATTATTATTTCATGAGCAAGTTATATACAGGCTCAAACAGATTGACTATGAGCTGATTCTAGTTTCAATTATATCAAGTAACATGAAAATTTTAGCATTGCCGAAACTCCACACCAATGAACGTCAAAAAGGTCAGGGTTTAGGATACACAGAGCACCTATCTGATACATCGTCTAGATCTAACATCAAGAAGTCTGTTTTATTCCAAAAGCTTACTATTTGCATGTGGAGTCAACAGTAAACTCCGAATGACCGTTAGAAATTTATGAAACGGTTAATGTTCATGCACCTTTTTTAGTGATGGTAAATGCTTCCCTCAGTCACTTAATATAAAGGACAATATTACTTTCAAACAGTTTAGAACTTTTTAAGTTCTTTTAAACAATCGGGAAGTAGCCAGCTCCATTACTTTGTATGCTCTAAACTACCAATATGCCGTTAGTTAACTTTAAAAAGTTTCAGTGCTAGTTATGAGAAGAATACTTGGGATCGATTCAAGAATAGTTGCGTGAAAATATGGGGTATGCAAAGTTAAAGGCAGTCATTCAAGATTATAGAAGTGCTTTTATAAACCAGCAAGTTATTCATAAATTCAGTTATAGATGAATATAAACAAGGAGTTAATTGTCTTCAATACATTTAAACGTACTTCTGGAATTCGTTCATGTGCACTCTTTGATCTTCTTGAATTCCGAAACTTTAAACGAGCTGCAATACCTCGAGATCGATTTGTACTATTGCCTAAACTATTATTAGGATCCAACGTTCTTTGAGGAGTAGTTATCAAAGGATTTCTTGTTTCACTGTTACAACGTACATTCAAATGTTTTGAAGGGAGAGACGACTGATCTGGAACTATTCTGGTAATTGCCTAATGATGGGTAAAAATAATAATAGTAAACATCTCAGGAATAAACGAATCCATATACAAGACAACAACAGACGATACAGACTATCTCAAATGATAATTATCGCTCTTAACCATAGGCGACTTACGAAAGAAGCAATCAACTGTTTGGCAGATTATTAAGTTTCTGTGATTTATGAAAAAAGCCCACAAAGTTTAAATGCCAGCTACAATCTTTAAACCTCAAGTCTTTTTGTGAGTCCAAACAGATGGTTAGTTTGATATCTTATTGACTTCCTTCCGATTTTTTGTCAGATAACTGGTAAAATCTTATGAGACGTTTAATTACTGTCTTTTATCTGATAATGCTCTATACAACTCTTTCTTAGCCTCTTGACAGAATAATTCATCCAAACATATTTCGTACAGACTGAAAAATAACTGTATGTCTCTTGTTTAATATAAGCCTTAGTTACCGTTCAGTGACATTTAGCTTTCGTTAGCCATGCAACTTAGGATACGATACGCATATTCAAATCATTCATCTATGAATATCATTTTAGTGGATACCATTTTGATCCCATTTAGAATTGGTGGCATGTTTGAATTTTAGGCTACTAAAAATATTTAATCCATCCAAATGTCAACATATAGTAAAGCATACCCGTGCGCACTCTTAAAAGGTCTTTAGCCTGTCGCTAGACAGGTTAACAACAAGACTACGAGAAAATATCACAGTAGACGGCAGTTGGCCCTTAAATACACAACAGTGCGTCCTATGGACATGTAGGTGGAACAAAAAATTTTCATGCTGGATGAAAAAACCTCCACCATCAAATTAAGGTGTACTTTTCCATCCTATCCATGTGCAATGAAATACAAACTAGACAATGACCTAAAAATTGCTGGTTATTGTACGTTACAGCCTAGCATATTGTTATTATCAACACTATTCAACTGCCTGGGTTATTTATTGGAAAATAATGTACAAGTAAATTAGTTGAAATATCACACTTAAAATACCAAATTGTAATGAAGGTTATTATTTGGAATAAAGCGATTGCTATTCTGCTTCTTCTTCTTATTATTATTATTATTATTATTAAAGGTTTGCATATTTTAGCTATTAGGGACCTGAAAGGAGCTTACTTTTTTTGCTAAGGAAATTAAGTCATAGCAACCACTACCAACCGAAAAGACAAATATCATACTTCATATATGTTTAAATGGAGGATACATTGCGTATTAACTTTTCCGGTGATCTCCAATAATGTATATCACCACAAACCCTACAATAAATATAAGACAAAAAACTATTTTTGCGTCATCCGCTCAGCATCTGTTCACAGTAGAAATAGTGATCTTATTCATCCTCAATTAATTCTTTCTTAGGAAAGTGGATTTTTTAATGGACGGAGGGTTGTGTCAACATTCTGTTGAGTGGAACTTACCCATAAGAAGGCTTTTTGATATTTTACAAACTTTAAGTTTAGTTTCTGAATGTTTCATCACCAGGCTGGGTGACTTCATAAAAATGTTACATATCTCTACATTTGTATGTTATTGTGCATTTAGCCTATTCTTGCACCTGGTTTCGCATCTCATCAAAACGTTATTTTGATAACCTTATGTATGAATACTACCTTTCATTAGAAAGTGGAGAGGTGGTATTATTGTTCATACTCTCCTTGCAATACTAAGCAGCGCATTCCTCACTTTAGTACGATGTTACTTTTCTCAATTACTTCACATAAAATAAGAAAATATTTACCCTCTGAATATTCATATGCTTCTAAATATTTCATTTCAAGTTGTTTAGGCGGTTCAGTTAGCAAAGTTCATTACCTTCCTTGCTTATTATCAATAATGAGATGGAATAGATTTTATAACACTTGTTTAGGATCACTAACAGGCTGTGTTTTTTGAATTCTTCAGTATTGTTTGCGAAATATTTTTTCTCTTTTATCTCTAATACAATCAAAATCTGGTAGGCAGTCTGATCTCACAGCTCAGTTGTTAGAGCATCAGGCTTAAAAGTCAGTAGTCACTGATTCGAATCCTGTTGCAGACTAAATTTTAATTCATATTCAGTCATCACCTGGTATCAATAAAAGTCTCCTAAATCATAGCTATCTCAGATAGTCAAAATGGTTATCAGTATGATACTCATTTAGATGAGAAGTCTTTTTGAGCAACTAGTGTGAGTACTATCCTGCGGTAGTAACGCATCGTGAAGTCACATGACAGTCAAGCAAAACCCTTGGTGTTGGAAGTGAAATGAAAATCTGGCCAGCGGTTGGTTTTCATAGCTCAGATGGTGCAGCAATGGGCTGAAAACCCAGTGGTCGCTGGTTTAGACATCCAGTTGTGGCCCAAAATTTTCATTTCACTTTTAATAATCACCCATTACTTAACAAATGTTTTGACAAAGTATATGGTTGTATTTAAGGAAACCAAATTCCTTACATGTACTTTAAATTTAAAGTGACTTCAGTAAACTTAATAAAATGATTCGGTTTAATTCTTTATTAAACTCGAATATGATTAATTGTTCCAGTCACAAGGGTTTATATGGCAATAAATCCGAAATTTTGGCTAGTAAACGGTGGAATTATCTGCTTGTGCATAAGGAATACACCTAATTGAATCGTGGGTCTTTTAGAGTTTATTTGACATGTGCTTACAACATGCCAACAGAATAAATTGAAAATGTTATTGAGCTGTATTTCCTAAGTAACATATTAACCAAATCACGAGACAGTAAAAACATACATTCTATTAGACAGAAATCTGACTTGATCTTGTGTTATACCTGAAGAAGCATTTCCTTGTAGTAATGAGCACATTTAATTATTTATTTTATTGAAGCTTATCGGCTGTTATTTCTTTAATACCGGTGGATATATATTGTGCATATCAGAGATAAGAAACTGAGTATACAGTCAATAATCACATCGCGGTGCATGAAAACTGATGCTTGCATATATTCAGTTAGCTACAAGAAAATTGACGTTTTGTAATGTGTAAAGTACAGCACTTTCATTCACTGGCTAAGCACACTAGCGCAGATATTGTTTCCATTAAACGGATCCATAATTTGACGTAAATGAGCAATTCACAGTCAGTTAGTTAAATTGCCAATATATAAGTAAAGTAGCCAGTCTTACTAATCTACAGATTTTGGTGCAAGATATTTTATTGAGAATGCCTGTGACTTTTTCAGTAACTTGAACATATTATGCGAAACGACATTGTTTCCTTGACTAAGTTTTTCGTTCGAATAAACTTTCAGTTGATGAGAATGAAGCATCAGTCAAATGTTTATTTCATCTGAAGTACAATCGTAATATAATTAGGGGCCTGGCTTTTAGAGTAAGACCGATTTGTTCCGCGTAGTGTATAGAAAAAGAACTACTGTGTATCCATGATATTTTAAGCGAAAACGGATATCCGGATAAGTTCATCGAAGCTAACTTCAACCACATTGGTCCAAAACGAATGTCAGTGACATTAGAGAAGCCTTTGTTGCTACGTTTACAACTCAAGAAAGTTGCAAGTGACATTCTGTCATAACGCATAGCTGAAACAGTCAATAGGATGTTTTTTGAAGATCAGTTTTGCATACCACTCAGTAGTAGGTCAATCCTCAGTCCGACAATAAAGGATAGTCTATTTAATCTTAGCTGTTCATCTTGCATATCACAGTTTAACTGTTCCTGTGGAACTGGTTACATAGGATGTACGATTAAGCAGGTGAGTCTCCTCATACGAGAGAATTTACCAGCTTGGTTTGGAAACAGCTAAGTAAAAGTGGTGAAAAGTTCAGTCCCAGCGCATCTAGTCGACACAGAGCGTCACAAAGATGCTAATAAAGCTTTCTATGTCATTCGTCGTGTTCCAGAAACGACACCACGTGTAGCTTGCTGGCGCCTACTCAAAATAGCAGAGGCTGTCGCAATAAGATTGTTCAAGCGTTCAAAAATAACATTTCCAAGCGTTACTTCTCCTTTGATTTTCAGTAAACAAAAGGCCACTCCTGCTGTCTTACTCGCTATCTTTTTATTCACCATCATTTCATTCTTCTGTATATGCATCAGACCAATATTGCATAATTTAAAATTGATGGACCCATTTCTTTACAATCCTTAAATCTCACTCCATTTTGAAAGTGTAAATGCCCCTAACATTGCTTGTTTTTACGCTGTTCAAATGCATTTCATAATTGTAGAACCTGAAGAGAATTTATGGAAAAAAATGATCGTTCAAATTGTTTCTTTTCATTAGAATAAATTTATTGCCATAAAATTGAATTTAATCAAACATTCTATCGCAAAATCCTATTCCTAAACATTAGTACGTATGATGTTGAATGTGACGTCAGCAACCTAGGAAAAAGTGCATACCTACTGATCTTGTTTTTTAGTACCACTATGACTGAACAGATGGCACCCAAGTAACATGAACAAACAACATATGAAATACTGTCTTTTAAATAACCACCAGTCATCGTTAAACCATTATCATGTCACTCTGTCTCATAAAGAAATTGTAATTCTAGACTAGTAGATTATTTAGTACTGAGAATGTTCATAATAAGTTGGTTTCTCTTCATTCATACAACACTTTGCGCAGTAAATTATGCTGATTACTTAACATCATAATGACTTAGAACTCAGCTTTAAAACTGATAAATTAGAAGGACGTATTTCGGTTAGTACTACAGAACACGCTTGATCTTTGGTGGTTTTTTAGATAAACTGAAAGTACTTTTTTAGTAAGTTCTGGAAACTTTACGTCAGACATGATTATCCCTATTCAGACTTAAAACTACATATTAGGCGGCTTAAAATATCCTATAGTGAAAGGATATTGTTAGAATTTCCAACTTATCTCAGAGATTAGTGGGATTCAGTGCCTTAAAATTAAAGATAGTTCTTTTCATCATAATTATGGTGCATCAGGTAAGTTGGATTACTTTACTGGTAGATGTCTGCTGCAGTTAATTGATTTACTATTTAAATCAAACGCTGTGAACAACCATAGGATGTTCCTCGCTTATCTGCTAGTAAAAAGAAGGCATGCAATTTATTTGAAAGTAATTAACAATAATTAACGCCTAAAAAGTCCCCAAGATGGATTTATGAAACAGTAAACACATGAAACATTTTCAGTCTGCTGAAATGAGTAAAACCTAAAAGGACTTTTCAACTGATTTCTCTTTGTGCGCTATTTAACAGTCTCTGTATAGGAAATTTGCAATTACCAGCGAATAATTTCTTGAGGTAATAAATAAATAGAATGAGTGGATTTTGTATGCCCTAAACTAATCACTACTGAAATGCTTACTCTGAGACCTGTGAAATTAACTGTTGCTTTAGGAAGAATCATCACAGTATCATTATTTCACATTTTACCATGGATTCCTTCGGTGTCTCTTACTTTCATCTTCAAGAAGGTGCCTGTTATCTGATTTAAAGAGGCAAAGTATTTCATCCTTGAAGAGTAACCGCTTTTATTGGCTTGCTTTTCTGGTAGGATTCTGAATTCTGTTATTCTTAACCTCGAAAAACGCTAACGTAATTGGAGTTTATCATATGATGCCGCCGTGCTATCGTCAACTTGAAACATTCACTTTCATTTGGAAATAGATAGCTTCAGCATACCTGCAGTTAATAAAATTATGGGTGTCTTGTGGTCAAAATATATCATATAAATTCTCTTGGCAACATCATCGTTGAAAAAGTCGAATCTGATACCCCCACTCAGTTCAGGGTCACTGCTACGATTCGTAAGTCCCTGAGCTTCAACATTTCTATCTCTTTCACAATTCGATAATAACAGGAAACTATTCGAAATTATAAAGAATTCCATGTTGTGTTGAGTGTCGCTTTACGTTAACTGACGAGTAAACTAGTGACCAATGTTCCACAGTCTATCACAAACATCCTATTAATAAAAACACTAATTCCTTTTATCAAAAATATTTAATCAAGACTTTATGGCTTATTTTATTGATTTCAGTCCATCGTCATGAAAACGAAATGAATTCAAGAATAAAGATAACTGGATATCTAACTTAAGAGTGCAAGTCAACATTGTTGAAAGTTCGAACTGCCAAGATTCACTAATAATGTGCATACACAGAAAGAAAAGCGGACAATAAGTATATTGTGCAGAAGGTGATATTTAGTACTGCACTGAAGCTCTAATATTAGTGAAGGTTTTTTCATCTGTATATATGTAGTTAGGCAAGTGGAATCATGTGTTTAATGAACTTTAAAACTCGCGGTATTATTAGCCATCAAAGTAAGCTATTTAATAAACAAATTTCAGGTTTAAATTGACACCAGTAGACATGCATTTAATACTCGCATGCATATTATTTTGAACACAGTCAAATATCTAGCTAGTTTAGGCTTAATATTTTCATAAACGGTACAACCTATAGTTTCATGAATATGGTATTGCACGACAAACGGTTCCTTATGTATTCTTGTTGATTACCTTTGAGTTCAGTTGATAAATATCGTTGAACCACGTTTAATACACAAAGCACATCTCTGTAACTCATGGTTAGTCTGCTCAAGCCTTGGGGTACTAGACAATTCCTACTAAACAGATTTCATGAAATTGTTCTGTTTCATTTTCTTTTAATCTTTCAAATATGTCTTCGATATGTATCATGTACTCTTGCGCATTTTCAAAATGTTTTCAGCCAGCCATTTTTGAAGTTAACAACAAGACAAATAAAAAGAATATCACGTTAGGTGTGAACGGACTGTTAAGCGTACAAAAATACACCATATTACTGTTCGTAGGATATGTGAGTTAAATTGCAGATTTTTGTACTGATTTATTGAGCCGACACCACCAGACTTGCACTGGATTTTCTCTTCATTCCTCGTTCCAAAACAAAAGTTAACCTAATCCTGGCTTTTTCACATTATTGTCTTTAATACTGTTTTAATCACGGTTATTCGAGTGCAATAATTAATTCAGATGAAATCGCTGTAACAGGAGTGAATTTGTAGGAATGTTGGATACTGAGAATTGCCTACTGTATCAGATATACTGTTAAGAAGAAAGCAATTACTATTATTATTTTGTATTTTAAGGTGAATGAGGATTTTAATTTTGAGGTAGTATTCACGACGGACTGACATCAGTTGAAGAACCAGTAGGTGAAAACCGTAAATTATTGAACTGTGACTCACTTGCTGAATGGTCCACGCGTTTGCAATGAAACCTGAAGGATCTAAGTTCCATTCCAAGCCGATTTATGCGTGCGAACTGCTTAAAAGTCGCATACTAAGACGAAACAGCTGTTAAGTACTCCCAGGTTTTCAGTGGTTCTTCATCTGGTGTCAGCCTGTGATGAATATTATAGTTTCATCAAACGCTTATGAAATGGTGTCAGTTACGGATACAATTTATTAGCTTATTTAGACGAAACTCTTTTAATTTCAGGCATAGCTCAGCTAGGCATGTAGTGTTAAGTTCTCACTGATCAAATACAGTAAACTTTCAGTGAAGAAGATCATTATGTCTTCATTCAAAAGTATAATATTATCAAGATCATAAACCGGTACTAACTCAATTTTTAAATGGTCAATAAAACAGGCCTGAGAAGAGGAAATGAGTACAATGTATAAAACATTCGACAAAGAAGTGAAGAAGAGTGCACGCAAAGACAAAAGACACTTCCATGACACACTCGTAAGTAAAGCAGAACAGGCTGAAGGTAAGAGAGTCACAGACTTGACAACATTGTATCAAATAACCAAGTTACTATCTAGGAAGAGATCAACACAGATGAAACCGATAAACGATGATGGGGGAAATATAAATACCAAAGAAGAGAAACAAAGGAAACAGTGGACTGACCACTTCAAAACGCTCTTGCATCGACCACCACCTGCACTTCGTCCAGAAATACCTCCTGCATTCCACCCACAGAACTAAAGTGAACACAAATCCCACAACAAAAGTCTAAGTGCTGAAAGCCAGATGGAATCCCGCCAGAAGCACTGAGAACAGACTCAGAGACAACAGTGGACATGCTCACACGACTATTGTAGAAGATGTGGAAGGTACCTGGCCATTGATTGGAAGAAGTGTTACCTTGTCAAACTGACGAAGAAGGGAGACCTCAGTGTTTGCAAGAACTGGAGCGGAATCACTTTCCTGTCCACCCACAGCAAGCAAAATATTAAGCCGCATCATCCTGGAGGGGCAAAAGAATGCACTAGATTCAAAACTACGACCGGAACAGGCAGGCTTCAGGAAGTACAAATCATATGGGAAAGACAGCAAAATAGGCGTTCATCAGCCTGAAACCAGTGTGAAGATCTTCTACACTCCACTCAGCATGTGGAACAAGATCCGGATTTTCAACACCGATGTCAGTCAAGTCAGTGCTTCTGTATGGTTCAGACTTGGCGCGTTACCAAAGGGATTTCCAACAAATTATAGACATTCATCAACAACTGCCTACACTCGTTACTGAAGCTCAGATGTCCAGAAAAATTCTATGCAATATGGAGCTCTGGCAACGAACCAACCAAGAACTCACCTCTGAAAAAAAATATTCAGAAGGAAGTGGAGATGGATTAGGCATACACTGAGAAGGCTGACTGGGGACATCATGTGCCACGCCATGCAGTCGAGTGGAACCCAGATGGTAAAGGACGAGTTTGGCGTCCGAAGTGAGGGTGACATGGAGGAGATCGCGCGAAGAGGAAATGAGAGCTTCTGGGCTGTCGTGGAGCCAGGTTCAAAAGATTGCAGAGAACAGAATGCACTGGAGACTTGCTACTGAAGCCCTGTGTTCCTTTAGGAACCCAAGGGACATATTATATAATAATAATAAAACAAGCTAAAAAGTTACGAAAGATCATTACACTTACCATTTCATCCCAACACAATTGTTCATATTTATGTATTTCCTCAGAAAGACGACGTAAAAGTAATTGTTTCCTGTTGAACAATTCATCCAATATTTTTTCTTCACTATCATTCTGATCATCTGTCAAAAAGGAGCTCAAATGCTTGCCTTCATCATTCATTTCTTTGATTTCATTTTTTGAACTATTTTCATCGGATATGTGATCCTTACACTGATTTTGCAATATTCCAACTACAAGATCCGAAGAATCGTTTTTATTACTGGTTCTCACTTTCTTCTTATCAGTGATTTCATTATGATCTTCATTCTCATCAACTCCGCTATCGCTAACACCATTTTGTGCAACGACCATTGTTGGTACCATCTTTTTTTTATTCAAGTGTCAGTTTTGTGAAGTACATGAAATCTGAGATAGACAGCAATTGTATAGCTTTTATGATAATCTTTACTTCGTGTATTCATTCAACCATACTGAAAGTTATTAAGTGCGTAAATAGAAACTTTCTTATTCAATTCTGACTAGATTGTGGTGAAATCTGAAATAGTAACATAAATGAAGGTCTTTAGTGAATTGAAAACCGATTTGCAACCAACACCGTAAGAAATAAACGTGAGCGGATTCTAGAAATTAAATAATGTAGAATATAATTACATATTTTTAGTTGGTTTGAGTCAGTCATCAGGAAGCCATAGACAACTTCTTACAGGGGTCAATTGCGGCCCAAATAGCTGAGTGGGTATCTCTCCATCTCTAACACTCGGTGACGTGAGTTGAAGTTCGGGATGAGACATCAGTTTTATCTAGATTCAGTAAACATTGCTGACAAGTGCCGACAAAAGCAGAAACCAGCTACACGGCTTTCTACCGATTCCCTCCATTCCATTAACATTCATCAAAATGAATCGCAATGACGAGCCGCCTTGTCTAGTGGCCATGTTATAAAATGACCGAAAGAAATTAGTTGCTTTCCATAAATTATTCAATTTAGAATTACGGATTTAGTGTCAAAATCCATCGAATATTTCAATTTCATTCCTAGTAATTTATAAACACTTTTCACCAATAAAGCAACTTTACTAGAGATGTAAATATTCATTGATAAGAGTAAAATGATCAGTAATTGTGAAGTTTTTCGCATACGTGTGATATTATGCAAGCGTATAAAGTTAAACAGAAATATTTCGCGTTTTTGTTTGAAGCTGTTCTTACGGGAAGAAATTTTTCCCTTTCGGTAGAAGAGTTTGAAATAGTTATTCCTTGTCGAAAATATAATTATACATTTTTATTATTGTTCATTCTGAAAATTATCTACAATAATGACCGTACTATTTGCAAACAGTCTGTAAGTTGATCATCCAAATTTGCTGTTTATTTACTTCTACGAAACTACTCAACTGAGTAAAGTCTGATAACAGATTATTAGGTTTCTTTCATTTATTGGCTTATCGTATGACAAACTAAAATAGTGAAGTTGGGTGAAAGTCAAGCACTATACATGCCGTAGTCCCTCGCTATTGAATAAATCACTCCCGCTTCAAACACTTATAGTGTAGTAGTTTTGTTCAATAAATTCGCCTACAGAATTAAAATGTTCTTTCAACCTGAGATCAGTACATATACAATAATTAATGACGAAACGTAGCTGAAAATTGCACTTTTTCAGGTCAATGTGAATGCAGAAGTTTGCCAATAAATCTCATACAGATCATAGCGTCGTAAATAGAATCTATGATCATTTTTTGGCAGTCAAGCTTACAGTAGACATGGTTTTGGAAAATATATAATACTTAAACGATGCTTGATAAGATCTGTATCTGACGAGATGATTGATATATGCACTGTATCGAATGGTAATCGGAATATAAGGATAAACGGATGAAGAAGGAAGGGATGACTTTCATCGGATACAGATAACTGGGTACTACCTGAACTATTATTATTTTGGAAATTGACTGTAATAGTGTTTTTTGATATTTTTATTCGCCTGTTGCTATACTGGGTCGAATCGCTCGACAACTGTTGACAGATGGGCTCTTATGTGATTGTCTCAATACGGCCCGGATATTAATTATATTACAGTCTACTTGACGGCTAACAGTGAGTTCCAAGAGGTAATTTTTTTACTGTTTGGAACTTTTCAGCCAAATAGCAACTGGAGATTACCGCTATCAAGCAAAAACTGATAATAGTTCCTTAATAGGTGGCTGCCCTGTCCCAGTGACCTAATGCATAACGCTCTGACGTTTGGAGCTATGGATACTGGGCATGAGTCACAGTGGGACAAATACGAGTCACTCAGATCCAGTTGCATCCATCTGAAGTGTCCAAAATGGGACGAAACCTGTGTTCAGTGTTCCACTGCTAGCTGCTTTGCATGTTACAACATACTGACTGCAATATTTTTACGGTAGGTTTTTGTACCTGGGTAGGTAATGCAAAGAGTGATGTGTACTCAGTAGAATGATAGTACAAATAATCAGTCCAAATTGGTGGCACTATTAATGCTTACAAATTTATACTACTCAAATGAAAGCGAAACCCGCCATGTTTTTAGAAAAAATAAAATGAAATTAACGAGGAACGATGTAAGCTGATATCCTATTAAATAGGCACAGCCCTGAATTCAGGGAGGAAATATCCGTTTCTTCTTTTTTCTGCACGAAACAACCTTATCATTGAATGACTAGTTGCTTTTACATAAAACCAATAAATAACAATTGTAGTTAACTTAGTTTTAGTTGTATAACTGCCTTGAAATGGGGAAAATTTAATTAAAAATCAGACAGTTTGCATCTGATTGAAATAGATATACAGTCCATAACGGTAATCTGAAGAGAACACTGTGACGAACCTGAAAGATAATTACAAAAGAATCATTTTTATAAGTAAATTTAAAGGTAAGCATGACAAAAATTGAGATAAAACTGAGTCAATTTCATTTTTTAAGGTTTATTTTAGTAGAATGCTGTTTATTCTCTCAAAAAACTTTTAAGTAGAATCACAACGCTTTTACTCGCTCTATTGTATGATACATTCTCTGGTATGGTACTTGACGTAAAAGATATATGTGAGCTTATAAATATGACTGAACTAATTTTTCAACACAATTAAACTTGTCATGATAATTTAAAGGAAACAAAGGTCTCGAAGTGTCCGGTTGTTGAAATTCATTTTGCATTGCTTTCAGCTTTAAAAGGTAATTCTCATGATTATTATTATTATTAGTCCCTTGGGTTCCTAATGGAACATAGGACTTCAGTAGTACGTCTGCAGTGAATTCTGTTCTCTGAAATCTTTTGAACCTGGCTCCTCAACAGCTCACAAGCTCTCATTTCCTCGTCGCACGATCTCCTCCATGAAGCAGACTTGAAATGAGCAACTCTCAATAGTTAACTCGTCATCTTTCGGTCTTTTGCAATTTATAATACTGGAATAGGTGTGAGAAAATTCTAAAAATATGAATTTTTTAAAATATGATTGAGTCGTGACTTGTTGAAGTGAGCTTTTTCAATAAAAAATGTGCAAACTAACTGTAACCAGTACCAATGGTGCCTAGTAATGGTATCTCGATCAAATGGGTACTAAACAGGTTTACCTTATACACTAGCTAAATAGGGCAGACAGCTGAGAAAAACGGACAGATTTTTTACTCAGTGAGATGCAATCACCTAAAATGGTGCTTATACGGCTGTGACTTCTGTTCAGCCGTGTTATATGTATATATTCTTCAGCAATTGGGTCAGTGAGCACAGTAGCTTCAGATGATCTAATCTAACATAACTTTCTTCCTCACTGCATTGTATGGAAAATGTCTTTATTAAGTTTATTTCTTTTATAGCTGGTATTGGCTGCTAGGAATACCAGTGCTAAGGTGAACTTACAGACTGTTAATCTAATTCAGTCTATTTTTAATCCACCTAGTTATCTTTCAGTGTTTTTAGAACTAATTGTCACTCAAAACCTGCTAGACATCAATAATAAGAAATATTCTGTCCTATAAATAAACTTATTGGTCAGTATCATTTTACGTTTAGACCATAAATCCCTCTAAATCAACCACGAAAACTCTTACTATATAAAACAAGTTAAAGTTTTTACTTCTTTCCTAACCTTAATTAAACGCATCCCATTTACATACATCAATAATGGAAGAAAGTAAAACTATCGATTTTGTTCAGACAAATATTGTCTAATTCAATATTCCCATATATTCTGTTTCCTTCAAAGCGGAACTGGAATAGTTCAATGTCAAACTGAATTTAAAACATCATTTTGTCACGTGATGTTTATTTGATTTTCACTGATAATAAATTCTATCACTTCCAGTGAACAAAATATCACAGAAAAGTATCACAACAGTTATTTTAGTAATGAACTAATGACTGACACCGTTTTCAAATCGAAAATTTAATCAGCGGTGGGTAGTCAGGCATAGCATTTATTGTTAATAATACGCTACAGAAAGAAAATGATTCTTTAAACATCAGTGGTTAATCACCATAGTCGTTATGTCTGTTTCAAATCACTAAAAAGTTGCGGCTGACTGGTTTACACAGCTGAATTTTAACCGAGGTTTAGACAGCTAAGTGTTATAATTAGCACTCATAAATAAGGTGTGGCTTATTACCTACTGAGTGAAACTGTAAAAGATTCTGAAGCCATTTCAATTTCTATCCGACATTTTATATATGCTACAGAGAAAATTTTCAGTTGAAATCAACCAGAAAACCAATTAGAATAATAAAAACTCGAAATATGGTTATTTCCATAAAATTGATTGTAGTTGAGAAAAGAAGAATATTACGCCTCAGATTTGTATAGGCATCAACTTTATTTGACTACCTGTTGAAATTCAGAGTCATTGCTTTAAACGCACTGAATACACCTTCATTTTTAATCATTTGTTTTCGTCATATCACGCCAATGAAACATAGAGGCTTTTTCAACAAGTTATTGAACTTTTGACCAGTGTAATATTATTATTTTTCCATTCACTTGCTCTTTGTTAAATGTTTTCTAGTGCGACAATTTCGATTACTACATTGTTGAACAAGATTTTACTTTGATATGTGTGCTTGTTTTCCGAATTACATCTAACTTATATGATTTCAAAGTTATTCAGGTCACAGTGACTTTTTGTAATGATCCAAATTCTCATGGTAATTCACTTTATGAAATTTGGGCAACCAAATGGTGTTATCAGCCCTCATGCAATGGATTCGGCTTATGTTTTATTACATAAGCTTGTAAACAGTTTTTGGGTAGCAAGACGTCAACCAAAATATTACACTTTGCATTCTGAAGCGAGTGAATTTGTTTTTACTGACGGGAATGAATAAAGCCGTTACACCTTATGTGTCATTAAAGTCTAAAAACATTATTCCATATGAAGCAAAATCGCACAGTCATGAATTACGCTGAAGTCCAAAGTGAACAAGTCTTTCACTACACCATGATACATGCATCGTGCGTTATCTCGCTAGTGTTTAGTACAGAAAACGGTCATTAATTTTACTGTTGTTTTTATCTGCTATTCATGTATGTTTGTAATACTTTTTATAAAGTTTCTAACATCATTTTAGTTCCTATATGTTGAAAATCTCCCTACACGCAATTTCTAGTCTACTAAACTTCGGCAGTTAAAGTACTGGATGCGGATGTTTGGGTATTAGTAAATATTATGCATTATGGAAATTACCACTCTGTGTTTATATTGAATAACTTGGATAAACAATTTTCTTGTAATCTTACATTAGATTTCATTTAAATATCTGACAGGTGATGGTTATTTATTCGTAAGTGATGATTTCATAAGTCATGAACGACTCACGTTTCCTAAAATTAAACACCCTCCACAACTCAATACATCATTCAGTAAAATACTACCGACAGATCAATCAAAATCCAGAGACTTGCCTATGCCACAACCTGTCAGTTTACTATAAGCAGCGAATTTCAACAGCCGCTTTACTGTGGAATTCTGAAGCTAAATAAGCCAAAAATACTTGTGACAGTGAGTTTAATGAAAAAAGAATTCTCAAGTGGTGAACAGATGACACAACTTAGTGTGATAGTGTGATAGTAACACGACATTACTTTTAGTGATATCCAGTTAACTGCTAAAGACTAATAAAATATATACAAGAGCTTTATCTTCAATGAAGCTAATTCACAGGGTTTTTCCAATGAAACTTTAATGTTCACAATTGATATCGAACTCGTGAAGTAACGAGTCACAATGAATCATGAAACGGATACATTATCATTGAAACTTATTTCACCGGTTGAAATCAAGTACTTAGGTTCTATCTAATCGTAATTGTAAATAAACTCAACGTGAAATTTATCACCCCCCACCCCCAGTGACTAACGAATATAACTGGTCAAGTCGTACGGGAGGTAAGTGATAGCGTAATGATAGCATCTCTGACTGCAGCATGCATTTATCTGCGTCTGAATTCCTCTGGTATGCATTCCCCTAGAGCGGCAGGTATGCCTTGTTACTAAA